ACTGCCAGAGAGTAATAGATCTTTCAGGGGTTTATTAGTTTTACAGGTCTTATAAAAATTACCAGAAAAATATAAAACTTTAATAGCTGAAAACTCTAAAGGTTTCATGAGCTTAAGCTCAGTCGGTTTGAATCGAGGCATAGCTACACTTCTACAGCTGGGATGTGGCAAGCACACTAGCTGCAAAAAATCCCCCAGATTCTCTTGCTTTTGTTCAGCTGTCCTCTAAGGTCACACAAAAACTTCTATCTAGAGTTTCTCTTTGTACAAAATCTCATGAAAATATTTAGACCTCTGGTTATAGTTGACTTGTAGTAGGCTCTTCCTTAGCCACAGCTTGCTTGGTGATTTCTAATTATTAATGCCAGAGACAGAAGCGTGCAGCTGATGAAACCACTCAAGAGTATTACAAGTATAGCTACAGATATGTATGTTCACCTACACTGCATACTCAAGGGACTTACCAGGCATAATTGCCAATTGGGAATATGTATTCAGAATCCTAAATTCAGAGAATGGTTGGGGTTGGAAGAGACTTTAAAGATCATCTGATTCCAACCCCTCTGCCATGGGCAGGGACACCTCCACCAGACCAGGTTGCCCAAAGCCCCAGCCAGCCCAGCCTTGAACACTTCCAGGGATGGGGCACCCACAGCTTCTCTGGGCAACATCTACAACTTCTCTGGACAGAAATAAGAATGTAGGTCATGTTAAATAAGAACATATGTCATACTTCCTGATGTGAAGAGGTATCACAGAAATTATAGACCAGCCTGTAAACACAAGAGACCCATCATTAGGTTACAAGATGGAACTACTCTGACTTTTAGTCTTGTGACTTCTCGGACATAAACGATATAATACATAGCTATATTCAGCAATTATCAAATCAGCTGTAGCAGTTTGCAGAGCTCATAGCCTTGGTCCAGAGGAGAGTGAAATCATCTTTTCATGTCACTTATAGCCACCCTAGGATGATGACAATGTTGATGCCAATGGTGGCTGGAGCACTACCATCATGGTAGTGACAATTCCCTTTATCCTGTAGGTATATTCGTAGGGACTGGTAAAGATGCTGTCTGTATAGAATGCACATGCAAGGTTTTCCTGAGAGCTGGTGAAACCACAGTCAGGGAGATCCTGTTGCTTTCTAAGCCTTTTCCATTAGAGGTACAAATACCCCATGACAAAGAAAAATAATCTAAAATTAAGCACAGCTCAGTCTTGTGTACCCACATTGAATATGTCAAGTGCTTGAGGAAGACAGACAGAAGCCCTGCTCATTGCTGAGATAAAAAAATTCCTCAGATGTCCCTAGGTACCCTGAGAAGGGCAACGGCCAGGCAACCACGCTCCTCCTGTGGCTGTAGACCATGCCCAAACACAAATCCAGGTGAAAGAAGATCTCTTCACAAAGAAGAACTGGAGATTAAAGAAGCAGCTACAGATTACAAATGAAGATTCTTTTCCCCTGCATACCATCAGCCAAAGAGAGGGTGAGCAGCATTACTTGAATAGTAAAGGAAATAAAACACACGGAAAGGAAATCTGCACGTGTAAGAAAGCTGAGTTGTGTCACAACTGATTTCTCTTTCTCTGTTAGGTTTTAGATCTTCCAAAGATTTTTACTTAAAATGGAACATGATTACCCTGGGGCCTCTTATACTAATTATCCAGCTCCAAATGAAGTATAGCACATAACTCACCCAGCAGATCCAGGGATTTATCCTTCAGTCAGATGCAGAGGTCACCCAAACAGAGACACACTTTATATCAAGATTTACATCAAGATTTTTGATTTGTCTTTTGCATTCTGGAAAGCAATTGTAGTATGGTGACTACAGGCGACTTACCCAGACACAACAATGGGAATGCAGCTTGGGACTTCTGACTGTGAAAACATGAAGATTTTTCACTTTGCACTGGAGTGGCCCACTTCCTGTAAGAAAAGATAGGGAAGATAATTAGAAATGTATTAGTGAACTAGGGTGACCCACAGCTATATATTGTTGATGGAGATAATAAAAGCACCTAATTTTGGCATTCTGCTTCTGAAATGTATGGTAAACTGGAAGAGACTTGGCTTAGTTTTGCTAAAGGTCAAAATTATTTCTAACACAGCTTTAAATGATTTTTGTTCCCAGATTTTCCCCATTGCAAAAATAACTTTTGCTCTCTAGGCTTGGACATGTAAAGCCCCCTTTATCAGATTACAGGTAATGAGATACACTGTCATGTTTTCCTTCCCCAAACCCAAGTGACAGAAGGACCTTTTTGTGTCATTTCAAGACTTCCTGCACCAAAGGTCACGAGAAATCTGTTAGCAATTAAGCCTTACCACCTGGCTGAAGAAAACACAATCCTTTTTTAACTCTGACATAAAATTTCCTAACAAAAATAGAATTATTCCAAGTAATATGTAAAGTTGCTTACGTCTGCAGAATCACATCTTGAAACAGTAGTTTACAGACTGGTGCATAATGATTGATATATTTCTATTGTTTTAAATGGAGGCTAAGAGTTGTAATGGACGTTCATATGCGTATTTAGGGAACTTCCGAGTAATACAAAGGAAAATGAGCCATGTGCACCTTGGAATAAAACCATTGACTGGTAGGAGCTACACTTTTTTTTTTCTCATTTTTGCACAAGTGGCCGCATGCGTTACGGCCTTTTTCTCATTCCTCAGAACCATAAAGAATTTCTTACCGCTCTGAGCTTGTTACCAGACTAAGTGGAAGCAACAGCCTAGTTGAGCCAGCTCATGTGTTATTCCTTTCATGATAGCATTAACTGCACACATTAATACTCAGTTGTTGCTAACACATTAACTGCACACATTAATACTCAGTTGTTGCTAACACATTCAGATTCATTATAAATGAGGAAAATAAAATTAATGGATTTGAGTCTATGGTGGATTTCCATTAGGGGCTTGTGTTCTAGCTGCCAACACATCTGGATTTCCTAGGAGTGAATGGGTTTAACCACCATGTAATTATTGTTTGTGGAAAATAATTAATTAACCATGCAAAAGGTTTTGTAAAAGCATTTAAAACAATGGGAAATTTTGCAGTTGCCTCTTCTTGCTTTTAGCACAATGATATTTTAGCCCAGTGATATATTTCCCTTTCTGTTTGAGCAGACACTGAAATATTAAAATAGGTACTGCAGTAATTTTCTCAGATTGTGATACAGGATACATTCACTGTCTCATGATACAATTAGGGAGTTGGAGAAACAAGTCTTTGGAAGGGGAAAGCCTTTGTTAAAATACAGTCTCACATATGCTGCATGCTGTGGCAAAGGACAGTAGTAGTATCATGAAGTATTCCTGCACCTTTTAAGATGGTATCGAGAATGAAAAATATAAATATATATAGTTGTCCTTATTTCTGAATAATTTTGCTGTCATATATTTCACTCAAATATGTTTTGGGGGTGGAGGATGGGTTCAAAAGAACTAGCTCCTAGGGTGGAATATGTCAATCCTATCACAACAACACAGCCCTGGCAGGGGCTGCAGCAGGTCACCTGCACCAAAGCTGGATGACAGCAGGACCCTCACCATGTTTGTTTTACCTGTTCAGAGTCCTTTAGTTATGGCAACGTCACACCACTCCCATGTCACCTCATCCTTCAGTATCTTCAGGTAATGTTTTTTCTTAATGGATCGCCTGAACTTCGCTGCGTGTTGAGCCCATTAGTTCTTGCCCTAGTTTATCAGGACGTGGTAAAGAAACTGTTTATTTCGCTAGCTTAAAGAAATTGTATCTTTCAGAGATGGATTTACAGTCTCTCAGATGACTAATGGAGGCCTGCACAAGGATCTGGCACCTCTGCATAGTACCAGGGGGTGTGCAGGCTGAGACACTTTCAAAGACAGTCAATCTCTCCAATATTTAGAGATGCACTGCATGCTTTGAACGAGTAACTGTAACAGGGCTGGATCATATGCTTAGCATATGGGCAAAGCAATTAACCACATATTTAATGACAGACACGCATAACTAGTAGGAAAAACAGCATGCAGCCAGGGAAGGAACTGGTAAAGTGTTTGTAGCAAGTAAAGGTGACTCAGTGTTGTCGGTCTTTATGACAGCTGCTACGAGCACCAGTATGGATTTTTGCGCTTTCAACTTCCTTCCAAAATGAGGTACTTGAGCAGTGCACCCAGTAGTGCCTGGGAGAATGACAGGAGACTGGTTGTAGAGGCAGGCACACAGGCAAAATGAATATGGGCTGTGGATAACGCTGTACTGGAAGGAGGTCCTTTACCAGCTGAACAGGGGTGGCTCAACAACGCTTTTGTTTCTGTCTAGAGAATATAGAGCATGAGGTCTATATGGCGAGTGAAAAGCCTTGCCTCGCTATTCCTTGTCAAGGCCTTGATGAGGGAAAGCGAGATGAGGCTTTTCAGCCTTCTGGATGAGGAATAGTGTGGTGGCATTTTTCAATCTTGTTGATGAGGAAGGACATCAAGGCCATGGAGCGTGTCCAGAGCAGGGCTATGAAGCTGGTGAGGGGCCTGGAGCACAAGTCCTGTGAGGGGCGGCTGAGGGAGCTGGGGGGGTTTGGGCTGGGGAAGGGGAGGCTCAGGGGAGACCTCATTGCTCTCTGCAACTGCCTGAAAGGGAGATGTGGGGAGCTGGGGTCGGCCTCTGCTCACAGATAACTACTGATAGGACCAGAGGGAATGGCCAGGAGAGGTTTAGGTTGGAAATGAGGAGAAATTTCCTCTCAGAAAGAGCAGTCAGGCATTGGGACGGGTTGCCCAGGGAGGTGGCAGAGTCCCCGTCCCTGGGGGTGCTCAAGGACAGGCTGGACGTGGTGCTTGGGGACACGGTTAGCGGGTGACACTGGTGGTAGGGGACGTTTGACCCAGCTGATTTGGAGACCTCGCTCTCCCTTCCCGAGGCCTTTCCCCCTCCCACAGCCGCCCCGCGGGGCCTCCCGCAGCCGGGGGAGGGCGGCGCCGCCATCGGGGCACGGAGGCTCCGCCAGGGGCCGCTGTGGGCGGCGGCGGCGTTAGCGGCCGGCGGCGGGAGCGGCTCTCGGGCCCGGCTGCGAGCCCTGCCCGGCCCTGCCCGGCCCTCGCGGGGCCCTTTGGGGCGACCCCCGGCCGCTCTGCGGGGCGGAGCGGGGCGCTGAGGGGAGCCATGTCCGCGCCTGCCGGGCTGCCGCCGCGGCCGCCCGCCGCCATGTACCCGGCCGGGCCCGCAGCTTCCCGGGAGGCCGCGGCGGCCGAGGGCGGCGCTCCGCGCTGCCACAACGGTGAGGGGCCGCCGGCCTGCGGGGGGCTCGGGGGTCGCTTTTGCACCTCGGGTGTGGAAATTGGGGGGGGTTTGGGGGAGGTTTTTTGGGGAAAGGGGTCGGGGCCTTGGTGCTGTGGGGTCAGGGGGCCCGTGCGGCGGGGCTGGGGGGAGCTGTGGGTGGTGGCTGGGGGGTGGAGGTGAAATATTCGCAATTCCCCCAAAAGCGGCTGGGTTTTCACGCTGAGCTCCTTGCTTTTAAGCCGTGGGGGGGCTGCGAAAGCAGTTCTTTGTTAAGTTTTTAGACAGCCTGCCTCCGCGCCGTGCCCGCCTAACCCTGCTCAGGCCTCGTCGTATCCCTCATGGGGCTGGGGTTGCGGTGGGCTTTGGTCTTTTTTTGGGGCTTGACCTCCAAAATCTTCCCTCGTGGATGTGGTTCACGTCTAAAACTGGCTCCCTGCGTGCCCCAGAAGGAGGTTTCGCCTGCAGGTAGTGCAGGGGATGGAAAGGGAGGTAAGCACATAAGCTAGGCAGAAACCAATGCCTCGGCTGCGCTCTGCAAACTTGAGTATTGCAAAGCTGAAATTTCTCTGCGTTGCTCACGAAATTCCAACTTACGTGGCTTTTAGTAAAAATACCACGCTGTCAGGACTCTGGTACAGCCTCCTCAGTGAACTCGAGGTATGTTTGACAGAAACAAACAGAAACTGACACTGCCTATTCCCCTTGTGTTTTTCACTGAATGAGGCAGTAATTTTAAAGGGCCATCATTAGGATCTATTATTTTAATTAGTTGGTTTCATGCTGCTGTCAATATTCCTATCTTTTACACCTTCTAGTAAACCATTTGCTTACTGTGAATCCAATGTATGCTCTTTTTTTTTTTTTTTTAATTCTGAGAAGTTTTATAGTGTATAGTAATAATCTTGCATTTTTATCATATAACGTGCTAGTGTTCGGCTTACCTTTGCCTTCCGTGTTCATAAATCATCAGATATATACCACGGTAGGCTAAGAAATCTGAATTTGTGATTTCATGTGTTTTAACAACACTATTCCAAAGCTTTTAGATCAGTTTATCAGCCTTCTTCAAGTACTATTCTTGTGAAGTTGTAATACAGGATTCCTTTTTTTTTTCTTTTTTTAACAACTGTAATAGGGGGAATAGCAACAGAAAAAGAGTACTGGAGACTGCCATTATGTCACATAGAAACTAAGTTTCACAAAGAAGGTAGTCATTGCTTTTGAAATTCCCTTTTACATCAGTATAAGGAAGGTTAAATGTAAGACACTTTAGTGAATACAACTATTTCTGTGTTGGCTGTAAACAGACGGTTTCGGTTGTTTGGAGTGCGCTATACATGTTAGTTACATAAAATCTAGATTTTTCAGATTAAACCTTTGAAGTTATGGGAGTCTGATGAAAGAGAGGCTGCTTCTTACAGAAAGAAAGAAACTCATTGCATGTAGGGTGATACTTACAACGATGTTCAGCTTTGTATTTAATAGGATTTACCCAGTCCAGTGACCACATTCATTTGAGACCTTTGGAGACTTTAGTGTTAGTGTAAGTTTAAAAAAAAAAAAAGAGTATTCTTTTCCCTCTCCATGTCTTTGCTTTGATTCCACTTTTAAATTCAGTAATTTAAAAAGAAAGCGGTCCTTGCCTGGTATTTTGTTTGGCAGTCGGGGGCTCGTACCCGCAATTCTTCTGAATTAAGTTTTGCAAGTTCATGAAAATTTTATTATAGCAGTTTTACAGGTAGCTTTATACATAGTCAGAAAATGACTTGTTTCCGAACACCAGCATAATGAGATGTTGCTTGTTAAATTCGTATTAAAAATGGTGTATTTTCCCTGTAGCCACTGAAGACTTCAGTGTTAATGGTATAATGGATTGAAGTTTGTAACTCTGAGAGGTGAACTCTTTTGAATTCCCATGTTTCTTGAGACGTTTTTTGACTATAGTGTTATCCACGAGTGCTTTGTAAGATTACAGTTAGTATCATCAGGATATTGATGATATATGATACATTTCAAGATACTCATTTCAGTTACGAAGTCCTTTAGGACTCGTCTGCATCCCTCCTCCCAGGTTGGATCCTTTGGATAGTTTCAGTTAAATTTGATACCGGGGGTAGAGGTATGAAGTTCCTAAAAGCTTTGTGAAACTGGGAAGCTGACTGATGCCATCACGGAGCTGCTGCGAGAGCTCAGCAGTGACTTGATTTGCTGGGTCCTTTGCTGGCAATTAAGGACGTGCAGAGCTTGATGAGGTGTGGTCAAGCTGCCCCATGTCCAGCTGGTTAGAGAGAGACCAGGCAGCTGTGGTGAGTGTTCTTTGCAGTGGACAGGGATGATAAAAGCTGCGGACACCTAACAGGTATTCTTGACAGAAAGGGTGGTTTTATTGTAGGGTATGCAGATTGCATGGAGGGTGTGTGACAGAAGGCTCAGTTATTCAGGTAAGGAGAAGGCTTGGGCATGAATACACACACACACACACACACGACACTAAAAAGCCAAACTTTCCCAATTTATATAGGTGTTTGTATAGCCATGGCACCTTTTTTTTTTTTCCCTCCTATAGTGTTGTGGTTTTTTTTCTCCTTAAAAAGGGATAAAGCTTTCAGGGTTCACCTGCTAATGTACGTGTACTTACACATTATAAGGTATTAATTTGTCTGTGGAAGGAGAGGTTCCTTGCTTTCCCCTGTGGAGATGGCATTTTAGCCGTGTGCTTTCTGTGTGCAGGTAAGTTTTTCAACTCTTCTTACAGAGTTTTCTGGAAGAGAGTTGTCAAGGAAGGTACGCTGCCTGAGACACCAGCACAGCTCGTGCACTTAACCAGATCTCAAAATGACACCAAAAACATACCCACATTTCCAGCGCTGAAAACGGCCCAATTATCTAGTCATCATTAGCAGCTTCAGCTACTAATTGCACTGAGAAATTACTTTGTTCACGTTCTTCACGATGAAATGGACAAAAAACTCAGTGCAGATAATGGGAATGATCTTTCTTCTGTAGTTGTAAAAACTTGCTTTGAAAGGACCGGGAGTTTGAAATCCGAAAGATTGCTTTTCAAATGTCAGCTATGTCTTTCTTAATGAGTTCTTGATGGGATTCATACTCTCTTGTGTCGTTCTAAGCTCATAATGGATGTTAGGAATAGGAATAAAGGCAACTTGGACATTCTGTAGTGTGGTAACTGGGATCTTGTACTGGTAATATAATCTCCCCTTATGGTATGTGTTTTTAAACCAGAGATGGATACTGCAAGGCTTTACGAGATGATTTGATGTGCAGCCTTTTATTTAAAGTGAGGTGCTCCTAAACCAGTTTCTAAATTACACTTGCTCAGTTAGTTTATTCAGCATACCGTGCCATAGTAGCACAAATGCACAGACTCGTCAGCTAAAACAACTTTCCTTGCTACCTTTGACGTTGTAGCTGCTTACAGCAGTAAGCCGTGACAGACGTAAGTTATTTGTGTGTTTTTCAGTTTGCTCTTTCAGACTTCCAAAAAGCAGGTTGAAAGTCTGCTAAAGGTCACGTAAGTGCAGCCTGGAGTTAGTTGTCGGTGAGTCACCAACTTGAAAATCATTCTCCCTTAAAGGAGAATAAGCTATGGAGCATTAGGAAGCAGCTCCCACTTTTTCAGAAGAGCAGTGAATCAGAAGCAGAAAACTACGTGTGGCTCCAAATTGTTAGTACGTCTCTAGTTTTTTATGTCTGTATTTTCTTAAGCTCCTTTTGCTTATTCCCTAAAGGCCTTTCTGTCTCTTGGCCCAGCAGTCCAAGTTACTGTTGTTTGTTTGTTTGTTAGCCTTCTCTTCTGCTCAGTGTTCTGGGTTTGTCACTTACAAAAAGTCACTTTTAATATCATCAGAGAACAATTTTGGACAGTGTGTTCCTTGCTTACAACATTCTGTTAACAAATCATTATCAAAATTGCCTTGCAAGTTAATCACAGACCACCTGGATGTTACTTTGAGAACAGTGACTTCCCAGAATTTGATTCTTCAACAGAAGCACGTACAGAAGTAATGCTTATATTTTGTGATCGCAGTAAGTGCAGGGGGGCAAATCGACAGTTCGTTATTGGCACAGCTGCTGTTTAATGCAAGTGGCACGGTGTCGTGCTGCGGGTTTCTATTCACTGAGAGCTGGGAAATAACACGGGCGCACAGCGGGATGTAAGCAGTAGGGTGTGGTGAGTTTAAAAAAGGAAATGATCCAGGGAAACGCATGTACGGTTCACTGGAAAATAAAACAGGGTGCAGGAAAAGAAATTGAGGGAGACGTGAAGATTTACCATTGATCGATTTGCATTAAAAAATAAAAATAAAAAAGGACATACTTCATGTTTGGTCTCTAGCAAGCAAGTACTTGTTCTACTTTTGCAGGACCAGTATGTAATTAACCTCTATTGTTGCAGAGGCGGTTGCAGTGACAGCTGAGGTCAGTTTCTCTGATACAACCCCCTACCTGATGGAAGTATCAGGCAGTAAACATAAGTGCCTTGTCAGGTACCTGGTGGTTTCATAAAAATGATGGTTTTTTGTAAAAGCATAAAATAACATAAAGGAAAATAAATGCTCTAAAGCACTTTATCTTGGTCACCATGTTGGGGCGTTGTAAAGACAATGTTGATGGACTGATGTGACTGCAGCTTTTCATTTTCACTTTCTGTAGGGTATATTGTTATTTTCAGACAATGAAATACCAGTTTGGTGCTTGTCATTGCTCAGTATTTGCTTCAGTATTTTCCTAAAACCTTAAAATATTCAAAGTAGAGCTGTGATGCATAGGATCCTGGCATGGAAAGCATCCGTTTTTCTGGTACTTCTGTGTGTATGCAAATTATTTCTAACATGGTATTTTACATGCATTGTACTTGGTGTGTTCTTTTTGTTCTGTTGATGGACCTTGACCTCAAAAACAGGGAGGGAAATCAAGGAGAAAGCAGTTGTTTGTTAGTTGCAGTAGGTACAGAGTTCATTAGCACTACCAGCAGATGCACCTTGAATATATTGAGATGTTTTCTCTTCATTCCAGGTCCTGTGCAGAGTCCGATGCAGTTCCCTGCTGGCTATGGCTCGCATCCTCCAAACTACAGTGCTGCCCTCAGGACACTATTCCCAAGTGCCCAATAAAGCTGTTTCTCCACACGTGGATAATCAGTACAGAGCTAGTTACCACTCCAGCTACTATTCAGCACCAGCACAAAATGTCATGGCCCCTTCGGTGGGTCCCAACGTGTTGAATACCCGGGAATCGCAGCAGTTCTACAACAAACCTCCCCATGCAGCGGGGCCGGCTGAAGGACCTGTGCAAGGAGCAATACCACCTGCACCCTACTTGCATACGAGTGCTCCACAGTCATATTCAGCGTTTGGTAATCACTACAGCACTTCTGTCAGCTCTTCAGTGGCATCTCAGGGATTTCCCCTTAATTCTGACCATTACGCTATGCCCGTGGTTTCTAGTGCCGTGTACCCTAACGTTTCCTATCCTCCTGCAGCTACTGGCAGCATGTATGGGCAGGCGTTTACTTCTCAGAGCCTACCTGCTGCCGGACAGTTCAAAGAGACAAATATGTTGTCTAGCCCGAGTACATCAGTACCTCATTCGCTTCAACAGCATGTTCCTGTGGGATATAACTCAACGTTATCGACCGTTTCATCTGCTCAGCCCGTTCAAGACAACCTCAGCAGGAATCTCACTGGATCAGTTGCTAAAGTAAACAACCAAATAAATACAGGTACAGTATTAGTTGAATGATAGTGAACTTCCAGATGTGCCTGGGAAACGTCAGAAATCACGGTTTTGTTGCTTTGTACTTATTCAGTATGTAAAATTTTGTATCACAAGTTTGAATTCTGTCTTTATTGATTTTTGAGGCGTTTCTCATTTGGTTATCACAGTCTTGACAACAGCAGCTAATTGTATCACTGACATGTTCAGTTAAATGATGCAGCAAAAGACCCTGCTGGGCAGATGGTTTTAGGGTTTTGGTTTTTCTGGTTGGTTTGTGGTTGTTTTTTTTTGGTTGTGTGTTTTTGCTTGTTGTTTGTTTTTGCATTTTTAAGTTGGCTTGGAAGGGAAGTCTTTTGTGCTGTTTTGAAGGAAGGTATTGATTCTTAGGTATGTCTATTGAAAATGTACTTTTTTTTTCAGTCTCTGTCTAGAGAGTTTTATTGTTAACTCAGGAGTTGAACTTGTTCTGTAACATACACCAAAGTGAACATGTGTGCGCTCTTCTCTTCAGGAATTTCAGGAAAAGTGAAAGCCTAAATGAGTCAGGGGTCAATTAGTTGTGTTTTTTGTTTGTTTGTTTGTTTTTTAATAAGCATTTAAATGAGACAGCCATTTAGGTGTTTTTAGATGATTTTTGTAAGCAACAGCACAATGATTTTGATGTGGATGCAGCAGTAGAGAATTGAGGTTGTGAGGGTGCCAGGTGAGGACAAGCAGACTGAGTCCTTGCGGGTAGCTGCAGCTTCTGCTGCTTTATGGGAAAACTGACAACAGCTTTGAAGGGTAAGAAAGGTGGAAGGGATTAGAGATGTGGGAGGGCACGCACAAGGGAATATTTTGCTCCTCATCTGTATTCTCCAAATAGTGCGTCCAAGCAAATTCTGCTCGTCTTACTGTGCTGGTAATGTTCTGGTGTTGTGCAGTTCTTACTTGTAAGCTGTGCAAGACCAACAATTTTTCTTTCTGATGAGACAGATGTTAGAGAATTGTAGAATGTTTCTTTTTTTTTTTTTTTTGTGCCAGTTATTTCAGATTATAGTTAAGCATTGGAATTGTTTTCAGAGTCCTTGTAGCTGAGGTTTTCTAAGACCAAGGACTTATGAAAAACATGGTTTTGATGATGGTAAAGCTTTGACTGGGGAAACCAACAGAGCTTAAATCAAGTTCATACAGTACGTGTCAAGGTTGAATTCATTTTCAGTGTTGGTTGTTTTTTGTTATTTTTTTTCCCAAACTGTGATACAGAGTGGCATCCTTTAGCACAATTTTAGAAGATGAAATAGTAGATTTGAACTCTGTCTTTATATGGTGTTGCAATTATATGGTTTTCCTTACTATTTCAAAAATGAAACAAAATACTGTTAAGAAAAGTAGAAGGGAGAGTTTTAAAAAGCTTCTGAAATTAATGGTATTTCAAGGCTGAGCATTAAAAAAAAATATTTCATGGACTAAAGGTTTAAAAGTATGTCTGAAAAATGAACTGTGGGTACAGAACATATAGCTGGACTTTGCAGAACGCAGGTATCCCTCTGGGCTATTGCAGGAGTTGTATGGAAAAGATTTCTTGTTTGTTCAGAATCCTTCCAGAATAGTGAGATTTGCAGTGGTCATATGAAAACCATCTATTGGTTGTTCAGACTGTAAATGCTTTATTTAGAAGTCTTTCATTTAAGTGCATATTATTTCTCCTCCTTTTTATTTGAAACCTTACTGTTTCATATCTTTTGTAGTAAGGAGCAGCTGTATTGAAGGTGAGGCAACATAGCTGGCCAGACTCTGAAGAACAGTCACAGATGCCTTACTCCTGAGCCATTCAGTGCACTTCTTAAGGGAGTGATTGAGTAAACACATGGCCTCGAGAAGAAGTAATAATTTCATGCTTAAATTTCCAAGAGCTGATGATAGAACTGATTGTGGTAGCAGTGTGTAATAGGTACATGCTTCGTAGTTATGAAAATGAACGCTAGTCCACTGGTTTTGTTACACTTACTCAAACTCTTTTTGAGCTGGTAAAGCTCTGAGATAAGCATACCCCCTACCTTACTTATTTAAAACTGGGTTGTGGAACTGATTTATCTGGAGCCTAACTTCTTTCTTTTCAGCCTGAAATGATCTCCTGGTTCATGCTCAGCACACAAATGACTCTGGATTTGCTGACTGGGAGAGAGCAAATCGAGGTAGCAAGCAGTAGGTGGACTGAAGGGAAAGTGGGGCTGATTTGCTGGCAGCATTGGTGTGACAGGCTGGAAATCCTGCTCAAAGAGCAGCCTTGGTGCAGTTTCGTAGGAATTTAAAGCCTGGATCGACGTGGTCCCATGCTTACGCTAGTACTTGACTGCTTTGTATGTCACTGTAGGCATCCGATGAGGTTGAATTGCCACATACAATTGATTAGATACAAATTTAATTCCAACTGCACAATTAGGATTCATAGAATACCAGCCTGTCATGATTTAATTTTACAGAATGACATCACTTACGAAGTCTGAGGCTAAACAGACTGCCTTTGACGAAGTCTGACCATCTTTGTGTGATTTTTTTTTTTTCTTTTTAAGTGTAGAATTCAATATCTTTGGCTAAAATGCATTAATAATTCAATTGCTACAAAACCAGGCTAATAGAAGATGCCAAATGAATGTTTGGTCCTGATGTAGTTGAGTCACTTCTTGGGGCACTGGTGTACTTCCTGAATTTCCCACTGCAGTTTTACTGTTCTCAGGTGGATTGTATAGAATTTGAAGCATTAGCACCCTTCAAAAAAAACCAACAGTAATCTTGAAAATGGCTTGCCATTTCTTGTACATCTTTGGAAAGACTATGAATGTAACACATGAGGAATTCAAGGAAATCATGATGGTTTGTAAGAAGGAATGTTTCATCCTTCCTGCTGTTTATTCTCCAGGAGGGAAATGATGGAAAACGATTGCAGTCTGTTCTGTGCAAAGTTGCTTGAATGCTGTTTGATATGTTGAAATTCCTAAGTATGCTTTCTAAAACTCTTCATGTAAAGAAATTGTTATTACCCTCTCCTACTCCTAGAATACTGAGAGGGCAGTTTGTTGTCACTGCTTCTGTGCTATGAAAGAGGACCCCTCACAGTCCTTAAATTATAAATAAGTACGTTTTGGAAGGACTCAGGATGCTACCGACTTACTGTACTTTTTCAATACTAGTTTTGTGCAGTCAGTGAACGCTGAGAGCTCTTTGGGAGGAAAATGGGGCATGCTTTACAGAGAAGAATGTTGTGTTTTGGATAAAATAAATATTGAATAAAATCCCTGTGTTTACACAGGACTTGCCCAAGAAACTCAGGTTGGCATAACTTTATGAAATGTGGTAATTTCAATGTTTTTATGCTTGAGTTAAAAAGTTGCAAGTGTTGTACTTACAATCAGATTTTTAAATAAACCAATTAAAGAGCGAGTGCAGGGCCTTTGAAAGCCCCAAATTTGCTGATGCCTGTTAAAATCAAACCACTGAGCTGTCTGTGTCATGTGCTGAGGGCACAGGAGAAGATCTTGCTGCATTTCTAAAACTTTGTCAGCCACTGTCTGAGATCATTAAAGTATTTTCAGTGGAGCTTGCTGAAATTTCAGCGGAAGAAAAGAAGAAATGTAAGAAGAATGTTTTTCTGGAAGCTGGCCTGTTTTGATGAATACCTGCCAGTAAGAGTAATTTTATTTCCTTTAGGGAGTGTAAATGAAGGAGGAAACAAATATTTGTGATTTTCTTCTTGCTGGTTTAAACTAGTTTCCTCTAACAAAAATGCCTTCATCTAGTTTTAAATTCTGTATTTCAGCATAACAGTATTGGTATAAATCTATATGGAAACAGTGATGTCCTATGTAAATAGCACACGCTGTATTACTTAGGCTTTTTGTTTTTCTAGGTCAGTAGCTTTCCTTATTGTTTTTTCCAGCTGTTTCAGCTGAAATTGGTACATTCTGACTTCCTTGGTACTTTCCAGTCTGTGGATCCACGTGTTTTGTCAGCAAGAATGCCCAAATTTTACTTGATTCTCCCCCCACTCCTGAAGAGGAGGGTGAGAGAGGACTCCTGAGGGTGCCTGGTGTGGATTTCTTTGCTTTATGGATCTTGTCGACTGTGCTGTGGGCAGGCAGCTTGAGCTGGAGACGCTTCCATTTCATGATCTCATGAACGTGGTTGTACTTCCCTTCATGTCAGATCAGGGTCTCAAGTTTTCACTGCCCAACGTTTGTAGGAATTCAGGGTATAATCCTGTAAATCCAGCAGCAGAGGTGTGGTAGGAAAAAGGGGAAGGGGCTGCAGCCAAGGTGTAGGAAGCTGTGCAGATAGGATGCTGCTGAAAACCAGGCTGCGGGGAACTGGTCAATATCTTGGTAGAAATTACATGCTATACTGGGGGGAAATAAATCAAGATCATGCATATAGCAACTCAGGATGGTTCTGCCATCTCTTCTTAAACACAAAGATATTACTATGATTTACTTTACTAGTTTAGATTTCAAGTTGGAAACGGAATCAAATTTTTTGGGGTAGTGCACAGGAAAAATGAGGATTTATCTCTGATTTACAGAGCACTGCAGGTATTTTCATCATTTCAGTCATTTGGTATTTTTCAGTCCAGGAGGTTGTTCATGGTTGAAAGGCATGAAGGAAAAGTCAGTGCACATTGAAGGAGGAAGGGAGTATGGGGGGAAATGTAGAAAATTCTGCCACAAAGTGTTTGTGTTTACTGCAGCCTGGCAAAGGTCTTGGCTTTATGTGCTTCTTGTGACAGCAATTGTCGGGGTGTGGCATGGGTTAACGGGGCTCGTCCTGGACAAGCTAATGGGAAACTTTAAACTAGTGGTCAGCCCAGTTCTGTCTTGATCTAGAATCCTAAATTGCATCATCCTAGATTGATCAGTGCTTGTGTAACAGTGTGCAATCTTGTTACTGGCTAGACAGAGAAGAAACAAAAAACTGATAGCATGTTTCCTATAACCGTACATTGTCTCGTGAGATGAGTTACTAACTGTGCGTTCCTAGAGATTAAATTTGTTCAAGTTTCCATTCTAATCCTTTGTATTTAGTTATGTATGGCTTCCCAGAGCTTTCTAGGGTTGCAAAAGAAAGCTTAGCTTGTAATTTTGTGGGTTGGATTTCTGTAAGAAGGAAAAAATAAATATCTTTCTGGTCAAAGTTCAAAAACATTTTCTTACAGTAACTCTGAAGGAGCCGTGTCATTTGTAGGACACTTTGCTATTCTCAAGCTGTCCAATCTCATACTTGGCAAGGTAGTATTTCATCTTCAGCTAATCCAGGTGTAAACAGGTTTTGGCTGTGACACCAGCGTTTGTCATGCTCTGCAGCAGTACAGGTATCTACAGCTGCAATTATCACTCCATTGCCTTGGCGTGGAAAATACCCAAACCCCGTATGCAGCTCTCTGCTACAGAAGCTGGGTAAAGGCAGTAAGGCTGGCTAAAGGCACCTTTTGAAGGTAAGTTAGAAAAGCAGGAGGATCATCTTAAACCTGCTCTTTTGGCCCCTCTAAAGGAAGCCTCAACTTCCCCACGAAGTCCTTTCGAATGCCAGCTCCATTATTTAGGAGGAAGTCTGGGTCTGCGTGCACTGCTCAGCTGTGTGTGCAGAGGAAGCCAAGTTGCAATTACACGCGAATCCTCTAGTGAATTCGGTAACCTAAATTGGGACTCGGCAAATAAAAACATCTCAATCTCGTTGCTTAATTCCTGTGTGTTTGCTGAGTCATGTTGGTCAAATTATTTTCTTTCTATTCTTGTTTTTAACAATTTGGTCTGTCGGTAGTTTGTAGAAAGGAGGAGTTTTTAAAAAGAATCATCATACGATGATTTTTTCCAACTTATAAACAAGGAGAGACCCTCTTTAAAACTAACTTAATTGAAGTTATATTGTCCTTATCTGATAGGAATTTTGACTGGACTGTGTTAAATCTCTCAAAGCACTAATCTGACTTTTTTTTTTTTTTTAAGCAGATTATATCTAGTCCAGATGTTTAAAACACACCAGAAGTTCTGTGGCATACTCAGGGCTGATTGAAGCAGATTGCTTAGAATATGGGTCTCATAATTGAGTAACGAAATTGCAAAGCTCCTAGCCTGCAGGGGAGGCAGATTGCTGCTGTGCTACGCAGCTGCCTCGCAGGTTTCCTGCTGCTGGGAGGAGTATTGTTGGGGAGGGATCGTGCACAGGCTCTGTTCCTCTTACCTAGGAAGAGGAACCTGTGAAAGCATTGTGTTTTGGGGACAAAAATGGATTACTTCAGCTTCTGCTTGGTCTTTTAATGCTGCATTGTGTCTTCCTTTTTTTGCTGTTGAACAATCTGTTAATTTTAGTGGAGTTCTTTAAATTACAAACATTTAATGTGAAAAAAAGATAACCTCCTCTTTCCTATTTACTTGTATGACGGCATCTCTCCGAAGTACCGTGTTCTTGTAGTCCCTGTGAAACCAACATTACCTACAGTGGCTTGCATTGTGTGATTGCCTGTGCAGATACAAATGGTGTTTGTGCTTTCTTCCCTTTTCAGGTGGCGTTGATTCTGTACAGCCTGTGCACTCCGCAAGCCAGGGCGTTCAGTTCACCAAGCCTGGGGTGGGAACATCTGCTTCCCCTGCTGTGATCTCCTCAGCAAGGACATCTGCTTCAGGACTTGCTTCACAGCCACGATCGTCCCCCTCTGTCACACAGCCACCTGAGTCAGCTCTTCAGGAAGGTACTAAAAGGGAATGGGAGGTTGTAATACAGACTTCTGCCCTGTTCCACGTGCACATGTGAATGCTGGAAGCTTTATTGCTCTTTTATGTTTGTCTGACAAGAGTACTGCTCTTGTGTCTTTGTCAGGCTCCTGAGAGCTCTCGTTTTGTAGGTCTGTTGTTCTGTCTTTTTCTTTTTAGCTCTTCTGTTTGATTTCCTAGTTGTACACTGTCTTTGGCTTGCCTGCGTCTCTTCCTTACAAAGCCTTTCTCTTAGCACTATTGTTTTTCTAAAAAGTTTCTCACTATTTTGACTTAGTAGAAGAAGATACTAAAAGGATCTTTTGTAATCAGTTTGTTGCAAAAGCAGACTTAAACTAGAAATAATGAAATTATCGTCTTAATCCCTAGCTGCAAGCTCCTTTGGAAAGCTGCTGCAGGGTTTCTTGTTGGAGAACAGGGGGTTCTTCCTGAGCTTCTTCCCATTCTCCCCTTTGGTAGCCTGTTGACAAAGAATCAGTTGGATCTTGAGCCTTCTTTTGCCATGTGAATTTTGCCCTGATGTTTTGACTTGCCCTTTAGACTGTTAAATGTTTGTGTCTAGTATTCCAAATCTACTTTATTGCAGTGATTTCATTTTGATATGTTTTCTCTTGGGAACTTCAGGATTTAAAATTCTTTTGGAGACGTAACTTAGTGTCTACTTGTGCCCTACACACTGATTTTTGTCCAGAGCAAGGTGGTATAGCTAGCCTTCAAAATAATTCTCAAAATAATTTTTGATAGTCACAGCATGCTTTTTATTCTTAACTTTCAAAGCCCCCTGTCGTAAATGTCCTAATTTTTCCTTCTCCTCCATTTCTTTTTTTTTTTTCCAGTGAGTTAGGGACTGTAAAGAAATAATTTGCTTGTGAATTGGTTCTGTTTATTTTACAAAAATAATTATTCATTGCTACCAAGACCTATATACAGTGTACCATTTCAAGGAAAACAACTCAGTTTTTCTAATTGTGTTTGTTTCTTGCACAGTTTTATAGTTTGCTTTGGTACAGGGTAGAATTTAGTTGTTCCGCAAATGTGTTTTCTCGAATAAGCTCTTGCTCGACTTCCAAAGAAACAGCAAAAATGCTTCAAATGACAAAATGGATTTTAGCTGTTAGATTGTGCTTGCCTTAATGTGCAGTATGTATGAAGATGAATGAGCATGCTTTACAACCAACCCTATAAATATATGTGTCAGGAGCATAAAGCAAAGTCAACAAGAGTTGGAATCCATCTGGTTGCATTTACATTAAGCAATAATAAATCCATATCTGTCATCACACGTGTCTCTGTACTTAGATGATATTTTTAGAAAACATTAGAAAACTTGAAACTTTTTGCAATTGGATTCTTTTTAGGACTCTCAAATACATGCTGTATTCTTGTAAAACTTCATCAACAATTAAGTGTGATAAATTCATTTGCTGAAATTAATACCCTGAAAAATTGAACGCATCTGAATATTTCTCTGAGTTGTGAGAATTCCAAGTGTTTCTCAGGCAGTGATGAAATAGACTGATTTTTAAAAAAAATTTGTCTTTCTTTAAGTCATGTTATGCAGTGGTGTTGTCTACGTGGAAGCATTCTGGAAAAACAATTTGACTTGTTGGTTTGTTTGTTTTAAGCCTCGGTGTGAGCATTCTTATGCAGTATTAAAGTATTGTAATTATTTAGTTGGCTGAGCTCTAACAGAGAAGAAAAAAAAAAACACTTAAACTGTATTAAACCTGTTTCATTCACATTCCTTCTATAAATATCCATATTGAGTTCATGCAGATAAACCTATCCACTTGAAAATGACATCCTAGAGATGAACTTTGGAGTGCCTGTCTCCTATCAGGACCTTAGAGACTTCTGTAGGATTTGTGATGATGACAGGAGCTGTTGAATAAATGAAAATGATGTAAAGCAAAGAGTTCAAGAGAGGAGAAAAGGAGGGTTCGTTTCGTAAAAATTACTGTTGGGAATAGAAGAGTAGGGTGTTTTTAATGTCATGGTATGTGCAATGGAAAATATGAGGGTTAATGAGTAGAGAGGCAGTTAAAGAGCTTTAGAATATAGTTTATTGTTGCATGTAGTTATTTCATTTTTGGTGGGGCTTCTATTATGAAACGTAGCCCACGTGAGTCTTTCATGGTGAGTGGTCGTTGCTTAAAATACCTAAATCGTTGGTTTATTTCAGACAAATGTGTCCTTAACACGGTTTAGCCTTTTGCTTCCTCCCACAGACGTTTACAGGTGTCTGTAAAATAAGGTGAGATAAAGCATTAGTGTGCTGTTGCTGTAATACAGGGGCACTACCAACAGGGTTGACAGCTGTTACAGTTTGTTTGTGGTTGCATTTTAAGCCAGATGCGTGAAGTAATCTCATTCAAAATAAATAATGATCTCAAAGTAAGCTTTCACACTTCTAAGAGTGGAAGATTTTAACAAGTTTTGGCCACTGTAAAAGATACTGAGCAGAACAGGGTGATTGGATCAGTGTGGTAGCACTTAAATTGCTGTGTTCAGCCCCCCGTGGGTGTCCTTTGCTTGCTTTCTCCCACGTGCTATCCACTGGGGCTGTCTTTGGGCTGCAGACCAGGATAGGAGGCTTCCCCATCTCAGCCTGACTTTTAAACTAGTTTATTTTTTGGCCAGATCAGCTCCCAGATTTGTTTGTTACTCCGGACAATTGTGCTAGCAGAATGCTACAGTATCCTGAACACAGAAATTGGGAGCAGTGCTGGCAGCAAAAATAGATACACCCAAACTCCTTAGGCAACTGAGAGTCAAACCAGTCCTGCCTCCAGACCTCACAATGGCACAGTTTGTCATTACTTAATCCTGGCACTTGCATGTTTTTATCGCTCGTCTGTATTTCTGACCAGTAACTGGAAAAGGCAGACTGTTAGCAATAGGGTTTTCTTTGCTTGCTTGTTTGTTTTTCCAAAAAGCATTCCTCCAGAGGGGCGTAGCAGAATGACTGGTTCACTCCTTTCCTTCCTTTGGCCTGCGCTTGGCACGTTTGCAGTGCTCTGCCCTTTCCAGGCACATCTGCTTCTTCTTGCCCTGTTGATGTGCTGTGTCGGAGCTCTGTCTTTGCACTCACGCTGGGCTGAGCTTGGGCTCTACATTTATCTTACACTGCATCTCTTGTTATCCTGTTCTGCTCTGAATCTTTTTCCCATTACTTGCACGTTAACGATTTTAAGTTGATTTTTCTCCTTCACCGTAACACAGAATTCTCCTAGGCCTGAGAAAAAAATGTGTTCTCTTCAGCTGGGGTCTGATTTGGGGTTGTTGTTTGTTTTTTTTTTTTCCAATCCTCTGTATTGAGTGCACCCAGTGCCTTTTATAAAAGATGAGAATATGAAGCAGTCGAGTTAGTTCTGTGTGTTAACAGCACAGAGCAACTGAAGTATTGTGCCTTGGTTGCCTTCATCATTGTGCCTTGTATTATGGAGAAACTTGACCAGAGTCATGGGAGCGATACGCACCAGATGAAGTGAAATACTACCAGCCTCTCCTTCCTCTAAACTCTGTATCAAAGTTACAGCTTCCCAAGGATGTTGCAATAGGGTTTTGTTCTATTTTCTCTTTATCTCTGAACAGATGCTCTTCAGCCTTGACTGCTGTTTTTCATAAGTGAAAGTAAAGCTGTCCTCTTGGGTTTATTCATAACCATTTTTTAAGAAGACATGAAAATAACAGCATTTGTAGTCTGTGCATTACACAAAACAAAGATTGGTGTAGCAGATATGTTTTGGGTCAGGGGAAGATGAAATGCCACAGTGGTTTCAGATTGTTTGAAGTAGCTACAACACTTCTGTAGTGCATTATAGTGTTAAAATAAAATTAGAAAAAAGTACGTCAGAGTGATGCTGACACAGTGTTTCTACAGAGGAAAAAAATCCAAACTCCTGTATTTTGAAGCCTTAAGATATTTTCTTGCAATCATGGCCCACTGGATTGCTGGAAGAGAAAGTGACATTTCTTCCAAGGATGTCTCTGCCTGACTGCAAACATGTATTAAAATCTTTTCTAACACTGCCCCACACCAAGAGAAGCTTGAGATTTCTTGGAAGTGTTAGGGCTGCACTAGTAATGTCACACATTAATTATGAGCCATTGCTGTGTGCTGCTTTACTCTGTTTAAAAATGGTATGTGTATGTGCTGCTTTTGTGTGTTGTTCATGTATGTGTTAAAATATATACGTGGTTTGGAGGTGCCTGTGAGTTGTCGCCAGTGGGCAGTGTATTTAGGTGCTGAAATGTGTCTATGAGCGTGAATTTAGGCACCATTTTAAAATAACACTAAGTTTTCAGGTTCACCTGATGAAAATTTCACTGGATGTGTAGCTGGAGTGTACGTTTGTACCCGTAACACGCTGCAGTAGCAGTTTGTTTCATTGATCTCTGGCTGTGTTCAGAATTCCAAAGTGAATGCCTGCTGCCTTAGAAGGGCAGGCGTGCTAAGCTGAAGTTGAATATCAATGTTTTAATAATGCAGTTTAAAGTTACCTGGCAAAGGACACATTTATCCATGCATATCACTTTACGAAAGTATTCCAGTGACCAAACTGATGCGTACACATAGACTTTCAACATACGTTTTTAATAACTTACACACACACAAACTTTTTGCTAACTTCTGTATGCTACTAATACTTAACTAGCCCACTAAAAACTGCTTCTGCCGTACATAGTTCACATAGGAACTATGGGTCTGGTGCTGTAGATGGTCAAGGGTTGTAGAATTAACTATCTGCATGTTGGGATTTTCTCTGGAATGGCTGGTTTCTCTCACTTTTAATGCAATGATTTGTGACTTTTGTTTTTCATCTTTCCTGTCTGTCTGACTCTTATGTTTGTGCTTTCCACTTCACAGGCATGCAGTATGGTGGATATGTTAATAATCAAGCTAGCTCTGCACCAGCTCCCTTGTCATCAAGTTCAGATGATGAGGAAGAGGATGAGGAGGATGAGGAAGCAGGTTGGCTTTAGCTTTACACCAGTATCTTGTTCTCTTCCTACTCAAGTTTTGTTCCATATTTCCATCCTCTGAAGTTATTTTTCCTCCATTAAGGTAGAAAGTTGCTCTGACTCATCACGTATCAAATTAACTAGAAATTTTCCAAATGTTACTAGTAGAGTAAACAAAAAGGGGTTCAGCAGTGGCCATCAAATGTTTTGGTGTGTTTTTTGTCATATTAATATCAGATGTTTTATGTATCTCATAATATTCACAACCTAAAAGACTCCCTGAGTTCTACCATTTCCATTTGCAGTAGGCTTTAAACTCTTAAGCAAATATACCAAGCCATAGAGGTACAGACTGATAATTGTTTGTTTTACAAATTAATCAACTACATGCCATTTTTATCATTACATTAAACAGTGTTTACCTGGCTTCCCATTCTATATATGGAGAAGTCTTATAATTAAGGTAGTAAATACTGGAAGGTGATAAGTATGTTTATTTTAAGGCAGTGAATTCATTTGTGCTGCTTTTCTTCCTCCTCCTATGGCACATCTCTGCAATTCAGGAAGATTAAGTTTTATCCTGCTTGCTTTGCGGGGAAATTAATAAGTGCATTTCATGTTTTTAAGAAGCAGTTTGTCCTGCTTGATTGAAATGTCATGTTCTTGGCTGCAAGGATTCTGTCTGTATTTGTCAAAATTTCCTGGTTTTAAAAACTAGCTCAGTGCCTCTTGCTACCATAGTTTCTTGAGTTGTGTTGGGGTTTTTGTTTTTTTCTTCTGACTAATGCAAAACAAAGTTTGCTTTGGCAGTTTTGATGCAGCTGCTGTTTGGACCAGTTCTTCAGAATAGGTTAAAAGAACTGGGAGAGTTGTGGTTTTTTGGTCTCTTTCTTTTTTTTCTTGCAGGGCTCCCTAGTGAGTTTTCTGCAGATAAGTATCTTTGTCTAATCTCATCCCAAGGCTTCTGTCAAAGGAGATGTCCAATTTTTGTCAGCTGCAACCTTTTTCTCCTTATGTTGTTCCCTAAACTTACCAGAGACAGTTTGCATGCTTTCTGCCACCTGTATTTCTCAAGTTCTGTGCTTCTGCTAAAGTCCTAGCCTTTGAGCTACTGTTGTAGTTGAATTTCTTATGCAAAAGAATGAAAGGGCACCCAGGCAGCCCATAAACTTCCTGGTTTATGCCCAATCACCAGGGGTGAATGTAAATCCTAACAGATTTCTAGCTCAGGATATGCAAGTGGTTTTATGAAGAACAGGTGTTGTACATCTGGTTGTCTGTTTACACAGCTCCTCAAAGCTTTATTTTTTTTTAGTAGTTACATCTCTGACTACATTGCAAAACAGTTGAACAAACTGTGTAAAAGTGTAAGTCATATTGATGTAAATAATTACATCATCCTAAAAGTATTTTATAAGCATTGTTTCTGTCTAGTCAGTTTTCTATTTTATTTTTTTCCTTTTTAAACCTTTTCTTTCCCCTTTTTCCTAATGCGTTCTCTTGCTTGGTGCTTACAGTACTAAAGCAAATTGACAGCTGTCATCGTTTCATTTAAGCAAAGGACAACTGTTTCATTTTGTGGAAATTCCTGTGTTTTTTGTCAAAGAAGAATCAGTGAGATTTCAGATATGTGTGGCCAGCTTAGAGTCTGAACCTAGTGTGCAGGAAACTGCAGAACTCATTGTTTTTGTAGACAACCAGATATTCACCAGGAGAAAAAGGAATGGGGCATAACATAATTCTTGTAGGCATCAGTGCCTTAAGAAAATAGAATAACCATGAGAAGGAAAGGCCTTATGTGTAAGGTCTTCAGTAAGTATATAGGATGCTCAGTAAGAATTCATGTTATTTCGTTAAGCAGACCTTTTTATGTTTTGAAGTATCTGAAATTTTGCTTTGAATACAACTTATCTGTACGTTAAAAATGAGGCTTTTTTGTTTGTTCATTTTTTTAGTAGAAATATGACTAAGCTGATGAATTTTAGCATGCATTTGAAATATTTCTACTTCTGCATATTTGCCAGATTATGCTGGAACTCTTACCTGTTCCAGCAGGACTTGAAGTATATAATATTTCCTTTTTAGCAAGTCATTGTGTCATTAATATCTTGCTAGGGAAAAGAATAAACTAATTTTACATGGAGTTGTGTTAGAGATGGGTAAGATTTTATGAATACAATTTATTGTGGAGAAAACTGTATCCAGTGACACAATAGTTAAATCAGAAAGCTTGAACTAGTCTCAGCTGTTCCAAGCTGTGCATGTATCCTTCTGGTATTTTTTGGAAATGCAGAAAAATTCTTCTGGTCAGATGAAAACAATTAGTTGGAAACTCTTAAATCTTGATCTTGTTGACCTAGTAAAACTGTATTTTGGCTTTTCAGTAGTAGGACTTTCCAAACCTAGAAAAGCCATGTTCTTACTCATGATAGAGCACAAAATAATGCATCCTGTTTCTTTCACTTCATAGAATAAATATTAATAAATAAATAAATATTGCATTTACGTTAATTTATAAAGCTCAAAACCAAAGGGAAATTTGAGGGTTTGGGGGATACAGGACTGGAAACTGATGTATAAGTTTCACAGTGTTATTTTATATATATGTGTTTTTGTTGTTTGTTTGTTTTTTAACATAAAATCTATCGTTAATTTTTGGACCTGTTTTTCTATTTCTTACCTGAACGCTTTAAAGACAACATGCTCAAAAATATTCTATACGGTCATAATGTTGCCTTGATATTAATAATGTTTCCTAGATTTCAGTGATGTTATATTCACGCAGCTGCAGGAGCATCTTTACTTGGAAACATCAGTTGAGGGGGGATTGAGTCTCAAGTGTTTGGCCACTGAAGTGTTTCCCTTGAAATAGTTTTGGCTTAGCAAAGGGATGTGTGGTCACGGTTGATCCTTCTGAGTAGAGCAGTGTCAGCATCTCTCCTCTGCATCTGTTCTGCTTGTCTTGCAACAAAAGTGTTTTTTTGTTTTGTTTTGTTTTTAAATTCTGACGTATTATTTCATTTCTGTTAAATTTCATGGCCTGGTTTTGTTAAGGAGCACATATATTTCATCTCCTTAGCCCCTTTTCTTTGGAAATGTACATAAAATGGCACCAGTAGAAATATTTTAAAATATATTTTCATGTAATGTTTTACAGTCAGATATTCAGAATATGTGCATAGGGTAAACTATGAATTAAGCATCAGCAGTCCCTCCAGAACCAATCAGCATGTGCTCGTCCATCTCCTCTTTATAATTTTGACTAGTTATTTTCATTACTTCAGCCCAGGTACTTCTTATGTAGTTACTTTTGGCTGTACCAGACTTGCTCATTCCATTTCAGTAGAAATTAGCTTTACATCAAAACCAAAAGAAGCTCTGAATAACAACAGTAGAGAAAGGAAGAAAGAATTAAATGCATCCGTTTTGCCTGGAGTGGGAATGGTATGTGATTGTTCTGAAGGCAACAGGAATCTTGTGTCATGAAGGAAATCATGACAGAGACTAGTTTAACAATGTCATATGCTAATTCATTTCACATAGTCTAGAAACACGTGATAATTTATTAGAATTTTTTTTTTGTTTCAAGGAACAACTTTTTTTCATTGCTTTTGTCCTCCCAGTTTTCCTTTCTTTTGATTTTTGGTGTATGTGTCTTTGCCTAATACCATGCTGATTGTTATCTCTTTTTTATTTTTACCCTCTCCTTTTTGCAGTGATAATTGCTTTCAAGTCATAGGGCTGAAGTGGTCTTCCCTTTTTCTTTTCTCCCCCAGAATCTTTCTTCAGTTTCTTATATAATTTTTTTGGAAATATCTTGGTCTTTCTTTAAAATTTTTTCAAAAATATGCTGTTTCTGAGTCACCTAACTTTATTTTTTTCCCTCTCTAGCAATTGATAGTTCTTCTACTACTAGCAGTGCCTCTCCTGTTCTGAACAATTATGATGCCCTGGAAGGAGGTGGCTATCCAGGTGAGCTGTTTGTTGTTGCATGTCAATTTTGAATTGTTTGTTTAAATTGACTTAAATGTTTGCTATGATTTTTTTCCTGATTTTGATGTCGATTATTATTAATTAACAAACAGTTTAGAGGAGTTGCCTTTCACCTATGAGTGGAAGGGTGCAAATCATCAGAGAGAACCAAGTTTGCTTTTTAAAATCTCACAGTGTTAACGCTAAAGTTGGACAAATAATTTAATAAAACCTCCCTGTATCCTAAGTCATACTTTCTGTTGTAATATTGAGGGTAGTGCCAAAAGTATGCTCTGTGTGAAAGCAGGTATCTTTCTCTAGATTATGCTGTTTGCCTGATTGTGTTGGCATCAGTAGCTGATAGTAGTTGACACACGCCACTGACGTTTTGAGAGACCAAAGATAACAGTTTGCAGAGATGCTTGGATCAGGTTATTTTCTTCTATTTTTTTCTACATATAAAGAAAATGGGAAAAATATGGATGCTATGTCACTTATTTTTATCTCTAGAAATATCAGGAGTGTCAGGTTTATACTACATGATCTTACTACCAGACTAACAGTCTTGAAATCTCCTATTGGGAATAGGTGGCAAAGATTCTGTTCCTGGTAGATATGTTCAGTTAATATTCTAAATGATCGGATTAATTTTGGGCCTGTCTGCCTCTGGCATTGCTCTGACCTGGGAAAATGTCACAGTAGTTTGCTTAGGTGATGGGTTCCTCGTTAAAGTGAAGTCTGTCAAGATCTTGATGCCGCTGTCCATATAGGGTCTAGCTCTTGCAGTTAAAGGGCAGAAAAGGCATGGCTGCAGGATTATGAATTTTAATTTCTTAGCTACTAAGTAAGCTTCTTGGTCCTGCTGAAGGCATATTCTAAAAACAGCTTGTTCCTTGAGAGTAACAGGATCAGCTTTAAGAGATCCCCACCCCAACTGCCCAAGCCAAACCCAGTTTCTGAGAGGTTGGTTTCATGAGTGATCCACCTGCCACTCCCCTGCAGGTTTTACCAAGTCTGAATCCTTCTGAAACTTACCTTGTATTTGAAGGCATTCAGTTCTTGAGTATCACAGAATTGTCCAGGTTGGAAGAGACCTCTAGATCACGTAGTCCAACCTGTGACCTAACACTAACCAGTCCTCCAGTAAACCATATCTCTAAGCTCTACATCTAAACATCTTTTAAAACCCTCTTGGGATGGTGACTCCACCACTTCCTGGGGAGCCCATTCCAATGCCTCACAACCCTTTTGGTAAAGAAGTTCTTCCTAACATCCAACCTAAAACTCCCCTGGTGCAACTTAAGCCCATTCCCCCTCGTCCTGTCAACAGGCACATGGGAGAACAGACCAACCCCCACCTCGCTACAGCCTCCTTTGAGGTACCTCTACAGTGTGATAAGGTCGCCCCTGAGCCTCCTTTTCTCCAGGCTGAACAAGCCCAGCTCCTTCAGCCGCTCCTCGTAGGACTTGCTCTCCAGGCCCCTCACCAGCTTTGTCGCCCTTCTCTGGACCTGCTCAAGCCCCTCCATGTCCTTCTTGTAGCGAGGGGCCCAAAACTGAACACAGTACTCGAGGTGCGGCCTCACCAGAGCCGAGTACAGGGGGACGATCACCTCCCTAGCCCTGCTGGTCACACTGTTTCTGATACAAGCCAGGATGCCGTTGGCCTTCTTGGCCACCTGAGCACACTGCTGGCTCATATTCAGCCGACTGTCCACCATCACTCCCAGGTCCTTCTCTGCCTGGCAGCTCTCCAACCACTCATCCCCCAGCCTGTAGCTCTGCTTTGGATTATTGCGCCCCAGGTGCAGGAGTAGTTCTGTCTCTTTACAGCTGTTGGATTCTCTATGATTTGAGGACTATATGTTGCTTCAGTTTAATCTTTAACAACAGTGAGACCAAACTGCTGCAGGGATATACTTGAGTTACTTCAAGAAAGGAACTCTCTCTACATTTAGAGAAAGTTCTTTCATGTCAACCTTATGTTTTAAAAGTATTCAAAAGTGCCTAGAGAGACTGAGCATGAATAGTCTCTTCTGCAATTTATGTCAAGGGTAAATCTTGGAATATAATGTAGTTACAAGGGTGGGGTTGGACTTCTTATATATTTACTTCTTACTTTCCTTTTTTTTTTATTATTTTTACGTTTTTTACATATTTACTTTTCAGTTGCGATGCTTTTTTGAAAGCTGTGGGTTTGTTTTGATTTGGTAGAACAATATTTTGAAGTTTATCTTAATAAACATATAAGTCTATGGTTATCTTCCCAAGTATACCCTCCTTATCAGCATCAGCTCCAGTACTCTTACTTGCTAATGGCTTATAATTTTTTATATAGTCAATAAAGATTAAGAAAATCTTGATGGATAATGCAAAAAATTATAGGTGGAAAAAGTGTTGCTTGTTAAGCATTCAGGGAGTTTACACAGATACTAAGAAAAAGAAAGTATATTGAATATCTGTGGGATTTTTTTTTGTCCTTCCAGAGACACGTTCTGTGACCAGCAGCCCAGTTCCTGCTCCACCAACCCCCCAGACATCAAAAACTTCCAAGCCCTTTGGTTATGGATATCCAGCACTGCAGCCTGGCTACCAAAATACAGCGTCACCTACTCCTGTGCAGCAGCCCAGTAATCCAGGCCACCATCCTGGCTTTCAGCATTATCCACAGGTTCATATTTTTATTTTAAAAGTTACTTGATGAAGTAGTGAAAAGTCTTTTCAAGTGTTATTTTTACAGCTTCTGGACCAATAAATGTTGACTATAGTGCTCATGTCATAGCACTAGTGTTAACTTCTTACTAGAAGGCTTCTGAAGTAAGATTTTAAGTGTATCTCCAAATAATCAGGCTTAGCCAGTTTGCTTTACCGGTTATTGATAGCAGTCACAGTTTTAAGGTTTATTGTTTTAAAGACCTGTCCTTTATTGATAGGAAACTGTTCAGAAGTGTCTTATGAAGTTCCTTATCACTTAGCACACATTTGCTCGTGGCAGTACCCCTGGTGTAGAAAACAAAACCTTCTGTTTTTTATATCCCGCTCTTTCTAAAATAAGGCCCAGCAAGCAAACCCATCAAAGCTACTGCTGTACATGATCAGAATTCCTTATTGATCTGAGTGTAATACAATAAGGAAGTATGTAACAGTCAGAATTGAGGGCTTTCATTGTTATAAAGGTAATGTAAAATCTGACAAAGTATTTTTTTTTTTACCCAGTTGAAAGAAATTATTCTGTTCAACATAGCTTTGTCTACCTATTTTTGTCCTTTTCTTTTTTTTTTTTTTTCTGATTTCAGGGATAAATGGCACTAACTTGAGTACTGGCAGGTGTTAATTTGGAACACTTTACAGCTTAGCGATCTCTTTAAAGCTGTGTTAATCATCTTTATTTATGATAGCATTCTTTGAATTCAAATACTATGTATAATGAATCTGAAATTGTTTTAAATTGACAACTCAAAGCTTAACCTAGTTTTGAGCTCCTAAGCTTGCAACAGCTTTGTAATGTTCTTTCATAGAACCAGCGAGGCTTATGATGAAGTCCAAGACCTCTCTTTTATTGAGGAGACATAATGAGAAGGAGGCATCTTAATTGCAGATTCCAACCACGTAGCAGGTGGATGATAGTGAAGATGCAGCTAAGTTGTTTTCCAGAGTGTGCTGTTAAAGAACAAAAAATTGCTAGGTGCGACAGGTGAAATTCCAGTTGGACTTAAAAAGTGCAAATTCCTCAGAGTGTGCTTTTTTTGCTGTGACATCTTCTGTCCCTGGGGACTTTAAAAATTTGCCTCGTCGAGGCTATGAGCAACCTGATCTGACTTTGAAGGTAGCCTTGCATGAGCACTGCCAGCTCATGTCAACCTCTGCATCCACCAGAACCCCCAGTCCTTCTCTGCAGAGCTGCTCTCAATGAATTCTTCTCCCAATCTGTGCTCATGTCTAGAATTGCCCTAACCCAGATGCAACTCCTGGTGTTTGGATTTGTTGAACCTCATCCAGTTCATATGGGCCCACTTCTCCAGCTTCTCCAGGTCCTTTGGGTGGCTTCCCTTCCTTCTGTTCTATCAACTGCACCACTCAGCTTGGTGTCATCTGCAAACTTGCTGAGGGTGCTCTCGATCCCACTGTCTATGTCATAAGTTCTATAAACATGATTGTATATTTATGATTTGCAATGCTCTTGCTTTTTTTTCAGCAATATCCAGGTGTGAACCAGCTGTCCTCTTCCTTAGGAGGGTTAAGTCTACAGCATTCTCAGCAGCCAGAAGGCTTGAGACCAGTAAACCTTACACAAGACAGGAATATTTTGCCTGTATCTTCAGTTCCAGCTCCTGTGCCTAACTTGAATTCTGATCTTAGGAAATTAAACTGCAGTCCAGAGTAAGTATAGTATGTCTAGAACTATGTTCAGTCACTATTAATTATTTAAACCATCAAAAAATATGTAAACATGCTCCTAATTTGAAATGTTAAAGTTAATATAATCCTACTCATTTGAAAATAAGTAATCCTCTGCATCCTTATGCAAAACTTGAAGTTATCCATATGTCAGAATACTTTATATGCAGTGCGAGTATAGTTCACTTACTAAAAAATTAAGAAACCTGCTAAATCTTCATCTTGTTTTGTCCATCTAAAAAAAATCTGCTAATAAACACTTTCATGTTATGCAGTACATTTCATGGAATATTTTTATAATATTGCATAGGATTTTGTTCCAGAAAACTATGATGATCATGCCTTAATATACTAAATAAACTGTGAGTATGTTCTATCACCATCATACTGTAATTACGATGAATACTTTCACCTCTAATTATTATTAATCTGCTTTCCCAAGTCCAGTGCAGCTAGGTACAGCGAAAATTGCTCTCCCACAAAGATCTTAATTCTAACTAAAAAATAAATATCCGTTGCCCTGGATTAACTCAGGTGACTGCCATATTGACAGTGCATGGTCCCACCAGAAAACAGGAGGCACAGCTGGGTGCCTCAAAATCAATCTGAGGCATTTAACACTTTGGACTGTGCTATTGATGCCTTGGGTTTCTTTAGTGCCTTTTCTTTTTTTAGCTTGAAGTCAATCCTGCTCTTTACATACATGAATAAAAATAAAAGGCTATGACTCTTTCAGTATTTGAGCTTCTTTTCTACCATTTTCTTATATAAATTTTACTTTCTGAGAACTAGTAAATTTTGTATTTCTCCTTTAGTTCTTTACTTCATTTAAAAAAAAATCTTCAGGATGAATAAAAGCTGTCGTTTTAAATTGAGCATTGTACCTAAAGCAGTTTTTTCCTTTGTTTTAAGCTTGTTTTTCTGTATTTGCATTGCTGAAATTGGGGAATTTTTTTTTGATTCTTCAGGAGGATTTTTTAATCATTTTCCATAACTTTTGTGTATCTTTAAATCAGTTTAATTAAATATGTGGTTTCTTAAATGTCAAAGTTCTTTAAAATCAGGTGTTAATATGACGTTTTTAGCATCTTTTGAAAGTTTTCAACTAAGTGTTTTTATTTCTTTTCAGTTCATTTCGATGTACGCTGACAAATATTCCACAGACACAGGCTTTATTAAACAAAGCTAAGCTTCCATTGGGTTTGTTGCTACATCCCTTCAGAGACTTAACGGTAAAGTAGCTTACTTTTTAAAAAATATATATGTGCATCAAATATATATATATGTATATATATGTCCCATTTTGTTTTAGACAGAAAAAAAAAGTAATGAAGTATAATAGCTAAATTTAGCAATTCCGAAAAAAAAAAAAAGTTTGCAAATTAAAAACGAGGCAAAAGAAAGCTTGCAATTGCTACCTCACTGAACTTTGTAAAGGCTTTAGACATGCCTGCCCTTACATTTTTTTTTTTCTTGGAATGACTAACCAAGATTTGCTTGCTAGTAGTTCTATGGAGCTCTGAATTAAAGTTTTGATTGTTGGACTCAGAACTGTCGTATACCTCTTAAAAAGGTGTTTACTTTGCTCTCTTGAAAAGAGGTGCTAATGGGACTATTACTGGCATGATAATTGCTGTCAATAGAATCTGAGCACAATATATGATTGAAGCCTTGTTCAGAACTCTTAATCCACTCTTTTCCATCTAGTTTGTTTATAATTATTTAAAAGGTGAATATCTATCTAGTGCAACCTTTTTTTTCCATATCCCGTGTGTTCTTTGACATGTAAGGTTTGCTGTCTAGCAATGTTAGTCAAACAGTCATCCTGTCTTTGATAATTTCTCTTACCATAGTAGCCATGTTATCATAACTGTGTAATTTGATTTCATTAAAGATTTTATTGCATTGAGGATTAATGAGGTTGGATTAAGATAATTTTAAGTATTACTTATGATTTTAAAGGGAATTTTTAATAGGCATTGTTATTGCTACATGAAAATGGTCAAAAAAAGATAGAATAAAAGATGATAGAGGATCTAGGCTTTTGAAGCTTGTACGCACTGTGCAGTGCAGTGATGTTCTCTGTAAAATGTATTACATTCCTTTTGTTACAGTTTTCCTTTGTTTCTTTTTAGCAATTACCAGTAATAACATCAAGCACGATAGTGAGATGCAGATCCTGCAGGACATATATCAACCCTTTTGTTTCTTTCATTGATCAAAGGAGGTGGAAATGCAATCTGTGCTACAGAGTTAATGATGGTAAGTTTTGTAAATGAGGATGCTTGCATTAATATCTCTTTCAAGTAATTGCATCATATCCGTCCATGGGGTACTCCAAGTGGAGGCTAGTAGAGCTCTTAATGTGTTTTTTAAGTATCTAGGTTTTAAGTCAGACATAGCATGCATTTCCTGAAGGAAAAGGTCTTTTTGCAATTCTGTGGGAGACAGAGAGGACGTAATCAAATTACACTGATTACTTCTGTAACAAAATGAACTTACTCCATCAACTGCTGTTGCAATATGCAAATGGTAGGATGATGACAGCTAATGTCTGCAATCTAAGCCAGATATTATCATAAGCAATCCAGATTGAAGCTTGTTGTGAAATACTCTTTGCATTTCTGTTTTAAATTTGGAGATACACTACTACTGAAAACAAAGCTTTTTTCATTTCTAGCTATTTACCTTTGATGTTATGTGGGATACTTGAAATGTTATGTATCCTTAATCTTAATTATTTTTCTTTAATTGCAATGTCTGCATTACTTTAGATTCCATAATGGTTTTTGTTTGGTGGCAAACATAAATTTTGGAAACTTTTTTTTGTAGTTCCTGAAGAATTTATGTATAATCCTCTGACACGATCTTATGGAGAGCCGCACAAACGTCCAGAGGTCCAAAATTCTACAGTGGAATTCATTGCTTCCTCTGACTACATGGTAAAAAAAAATAAAAATAAATAAAAATTCTAATGGGGATTTTCCACAAAATTGCACATTAATATAAATACATTTGAAATTAACATGGCATATTACTTCAGTGGTACATATTAATTTTCCCATGAAGTTTCTGTAAGACCAAACAAAAGTTCATATTTGATTTTTGGCAAATGCATCTATTGAAAGATTTGTCAGTTAAAGGCAATTACAATGTATGTAGCTGTCCTGTGCAGTTTAACGTTGTATAGTCTGTTTTGAGTCTGATGCAAGCTAGTTTTTGGGTCTTTCCTACATTATTAAGAAGTTTTGAAAGACCGGTAATGAAATAATAAAAGAATTAAGTTGGGTTCAATTTTTTTAGTTAGTAATCTCACAAACATGATCCTAACTAGGAATCAACCTTTAATTGCTGTGGTAGTATCCTAGTTAGAAGGATAAACAAGGCTTGGAAAGAGGTCCTGTTCACAATGACACTATAACCACAGCAAAAATAAATTGTTCTCTTAAATTAGAATTGGAACAGGGTAGCCAAAATGTTTGGAAGTGAATAAATACAGCTTCTTACATGGTTGTAAAAAGGTTGTAGGTAGAATATTGCAACTCAGATTAATGGATAGCGTTGTCCACATTCGGAAAGAATAGTTTTGAAGAGCATATTCTGTATCTGACATTAAAAACAACAACAACAAAAAACCTGTTTGAGTTCACTGTTGGAAGGAGAGACTGAAATATCCGATTTCCACTCAGAAGCGTAACTTGTGCTTATTGCAAATGGGGTTTATTAACCACTGGGAATTGTGTTCAAATCTATTCACATGACTGTTAGTTGTTTAATTTCATTTTATTGCATGATGTGTAGTTTGTATTATTCTAAGTATTCCCTTTGCCCACTTCCCTTTCTAATGACTAAACACTTTTACTATTTCTTTTAATATGATTTTTGAATTATTTTACTTTATTTTTTGTTTGTTTGTTTTTACTTTGTAGCTTCGTCCTCCTCAGCCTGCGGTATATTTATTTGTTTTAGATGTCTCTCATAATGCAGTGGAGGCTGGATATTTGACAATACTCTGCAATTCATTGCTGGAAAACCTAGACAAGTAAGATTATAAATAACCTTTTCAAATTACCTAACAGGTGATTATGAACAATACTAACCTACAGTTTTGAAGAAAACTTGCATATAACATTTAAATGAGCTGTCTCTAAAGGACAGATGTTCTGTTGCACGAGATCCTGAAATGAAACTTACATATCTTAAAGCCAAGAACAATAATAATAATAAAATAAATAAAACAACCCAGCTGAGAGGCATCTTCCTTTTATGTGATTAAAGATGGATCTGCAAAGAATATTTAGCTGTAACTTGTAACAATGTGTTGATTCTACAAACATCTGAAGTGCTCTTTTATGTTTAAGAACAACAAAAATAATTAAATTACAGCAATTAAATTCATCAGGTTTTGTGTGCTGAAGCAGCTGAGGTGCTGCTTGCTGGAATGCTGTGACCACTAGTGTGGACTACCTAGTTGAACTGTGTTGTCAGTTGGGTTTTTTAGTTCACAGTTACCTAGATCAACCAGTGCCACTTCCTGTATATTCCTCATTTTTGCACTGGAACAATATGTGTGGGATTTTTGTTGGTGCTTTTGTGTTGAGGATTGATAAACTTCACTATGGTCATGTCTTTTGGAAACTGATTTTTCATCCTGTAGAGGATAAAAAGAGGATGAAACTATGAAAATTATTTTCTAAAAAGTTGTGTTAGGAAATTTTCCTTTCTGATATAGATACCAGCATGTACATATAATTCTTCTCTTAAATTTATTATACATCATTTTTTGTTCAAAGTATTACTGGTATTTTGTTAACAGATTTTCAGAAGCATACTAATTTACTTTTTAGGAGAATTCATGAAATCTCATGCAAAGCCTACGCAAAAATCAGTATATCCAATTAACTTATATCCAGATGGCAAGAACCAACTTCTGCCTCTTACTTTTGTTGAAAGTCAAGGTTTTCAGCACTTCACAAGTCATATTTGCAGTCTACAAATTCTAGAAATCCCATTTAGTTTTTATATCTGTGTTTTTAATGCTATATATAAAAAGATGGTCCACAGGATAACTAAATATTGCATTGTAGAGACACTGGATTTTGGTTTAGAGAAATTCGGGGCTTAATGGTTTGGTTTGTTCTAATGTTTCAGGCTGCCTGGAGACTCAAGAACGAGAATAGGGTTCATAACATTTGACAGCACTGTTCATTTTTACAACTTGCAAGAAGGTTTATCTCAGCCTCAGATGCTGATTGTTTCAGATATTGATGGTAAGTAACTACGTTTTTGAGAAGCTCCCTTTTTTTTTAAATCCAATAAAAAGATTGTGTCTTACATGTTCTGGTATTAGGGTAATTTTATTAAAATGAGAGAGAATATACTTTTCAAAAATAGTCATATACTTTTTGCAGAATAGTTGGTGTTTTAACAAGAGAAATTCAAATATTAATTTTTTATTTGAACAAAGCAAGCTTTGCTGAGACTGCTTTTTACTCTAATAGTTATCAGAAAAGTAGACCTTATTTAGTGCCACTTATATCTATGGGAAATGAGCTGTTATGTTCTATTTGAATGTTATTTTTTATTTACTAAAGTGTTTTTTCCCTTTTCCCTACAGATATTTTCCTTCCTACACCAGATAGCTTTACTTGTAAATCTCCATGAAAGCAAAGAGGTATGACTACTCAAAATAGATCACAACATTGAAGCAGTTAAATATTCAAAATAGATTTTAAAAAAACAAAACACTTAATTCAAGACTATGTAATGTGTAATTCCAGTGTTACTTTTTAATGATAAAAATATTACACTTCGTTCAATGCAATGTAGTTTTAAAAGTTCTAACTGTTTTTTACAATTTGTTTAAACTGAGCTGATGTATTTAGTACTGATTTGGTCATGGCACTACAGCTTTTTAGAAATAGCAGAAAAACTTAAGATTGTACATCTCATAAGAAACTTTCCATCTGTTTTGCAGCTGATAAAAGATCTGCTGAATGCATTCCCAAATATGTTCACCAATACACGAGAAACCCACAGCGCTTTGGGCCCTGCTCTTCAGGCTGCATTTAAACTGATGTCTCCAACTGGAGGTCGGATATCTGTGTTTCAAACACAGTTACCATCCTTGGGTGCAGGGCTTTTGCATTCCAGAGAAGATCCCAATCAAAGGTCAAGCACAAAGGTATAAAAATTTCATTAATTATTCATCTCAGGAGCCTAGGGACTGGACGTTTGAGCCTAGGGACTTGCATCATCTACAGACCAACACTTGTTTTTTGTTTATAGCAGTTCGCTAACGTTTAAATGTTCAGTGTCTGTGCATGTATGATCACTAATTCATACATGCGTGTGTTTCTCAACAGCAAAACCTTTTTTTCTTGACAGCGAGAAGAAACTGCAGGTATCTTTTAACTCAATTCATTATCAAACGAGGCTTTGAATATATATTTATCATGTATGTATGGAACTGTACACCTAAAGCACGATTTATTATTATTTTTGGCGTTTTAAATGAAGTATCTAGTAAATGTTAGAGTTAACATGAATGTTTATTTGCATGAGAGTGTAAACCTTTTCGAAGGGAGTATTATACCTGCTTGTAAAGATGATCTAAAAGAATGTACAACATGAAATAATTTCTGCAGGTATTTTGAAATGCCTATAAAATTTTGCTTAAGTGAAACTTGCTTATGATACTTTGCTATTGAATGGTAAATCTGTTGTTTCTTAAATTCTTATGGAAGCACAATCACAATTTTAATTCTTTCTCATGTAACTTTTTCACCAAAGGTGGTCCAACATCTTGGTCCAGCTACAGATTTTTATAAGAAGTTGGCATTGGACTGTTCAGGCCAACAGATTGCTGTGGATTTGTTTCTCTTAAGTTCGCAATATTCTGATCTAGCTTCTCTTGGTAAGGAGTGCCTAATATATGTATTTATTCCTCCCAAAGTGTTGTCTGTCTTTGAAAAGCACAGGCTACTTCAGAAATTCTTTGATCTTGTAAGTCTTTATGCACTCTTGTAAATGCAGCTAATACTGCATAGGAATTGACTACGAAGTTGATATCAGTAAAGAGCAGGTGTATTGGATTGGTGGTATCAAAGACAATTTATTCTGAGATTTCAGTTTTAAACGAGAAAGTTCTCTTCTGCTCAAGAATAGAAAACAGGAAGATGGCAGGAAACAAATGAAGTTTAATCATAGGAGGAGAACGCAGTTCTCACCTCTGAGTATAAATAGGATTTGTCTCTGCACGCACACTTAGTTTTATGCCTACGTCATTAAATATTCTTGCAAGCACTCTGTGCTACCCTTGGCAGCTAAGACAGGTTATTGAAGTAAGTGTATATTGAGGTAACTGTGTCTTGGAGTGACTTCTTAATGTCTTCAGTGGCCTGAGTCAAGGCCAGCTCTTGTCGTCTTACAGATGCAGTTCATATCAGGAAAAAGGTCAATATAGATGTGACTTGAAGAACATTGTACACAATCTTTATGTCCTGACCTCATGGTTTACCTTCTAACAACATCTTTTTTTCCTTCACAGCTTGCATGTCCAAATACTCTGCTGGGTGCATCTATTATTATCCATCTTTTCATCATATCCATAATCCTGCTCAGGCTGAGAAGTTGCAAAAAGACCTTAAAAGATACCTTACGAGGAAGATTGGTTTTGAGGCAGTTATGCGCATAAGATGCACAAAAGGTATATTGTAAACACTCTTACAAATGGAAAAACAGATGTAAACATGTTAACTGTCATTTTGAATGTGCTTAGTCTTCAACAAGATTACATTTCAGTCTGTTTCTGTCACTGAAGAATCAGATTTTTGTCACCTTTACATCAGTATGTGCTGGTAGCCTTTTGCTATTTGGATATTAGTTGTGTGGTTTTTTTTGTTTCAGTTCTTAGTTAAGAATTCATTTCAACCAAGTTTAAGTGTGTAGTGTAAGAGTGTTGTTCAGTTTGGAGCGTTCAAAATTGAGTATGAAATGTATGGGATCACTCTGAAAGGTGTGGTGGTTCCTATAATAACTGATTCTGCTTAATATTTGGGATAAATATTTTTTTACTGTATTTTTAAAACATAAGGACTGTGGGCTTTAATTACTGAAGGAAGTTTTTCATGCTGTTACAACCTCATTGTCTGAATTATTTCATCTGCTTCTAGGTCTTTCTATCCACACTTTTCATGGGAACTTTTTTGTACGATCTACTGATTTATTATCCCTTGCCAATGTCAATCCTGATGCTGGATTTGCAGTACAAATGTCCATTGAGGAAAGTCTCGCTGACACATCCTTGGTTTGTTTTCAAACAGCTCTTTTGTATACTTCCAGCAAAGGTAAATGCATTCAAATGAATTGAACACTATTTTTGTTTGGTTTGTTTTTAAGGAAATGTTTGTATAGCTATTTGCGCAGCCTTCTGTTGAACTTCATAACTTAGGGGAATCTTGTCAAAGTTAGGGAACCTGGTTAGCCATTAGTCACATAATATAAAACTTCATAAGCTCTATTTTGATGGAAAAATTGTATTTATCTCAATTTTACATAATCTTGTTCAACAACTTGACTTAAAAGGCATATCATTGTTATAAGCAGTAACATATTTGGCACTTAATTTATCCAGAATCACAGAGCTATGAAAGTGGTGGATACTACCAGGTGGGCATAAAGAATAGCAGCTACTTTCTGTTGTGGAGGATGCCACAAATTTTAGACTGTACTTCATCTGTACAGTCAACAAAGCTTTGTGTGGACATTATAAAGTAGTTCATGTTATGAACCTGTGTTCGTTATTCAGTTGAATGCTTGAGAGCTTTTCAGAATTTGAGACAGGAGTGAGAAATGGTGTTACAGCAAACGCATGACTGGTGTGTTTTCACCAAGAGTGCATCTTGGACAAGAGAAGATGCACTGTAATGACTGAATTTGGATACTTCTTCCTACCAAGCAGTACTGTGTGATGATTTCTATGTATTTTTATTAGGTGAACGCCGAATTCGAGTGCACACACTTTGCTTGCCTGTAGTAAATTCGTTGGCTGATGTATATGCAGGAGCAGATGTACAAGCAGTTGTATGCCTCTTAGCAAACATGGGTGAGTTTCAAATGTCTTTTCACATGTTCTCTTTTAAAGTAGCAAATGAAGCCTGGCTATTCATTTTCCTGTTAGTTTTTGTGTGCTTTAAAAATAAAAACGGAGATGGGGAGTACTGCTGACATCTCCACTTTCTGTGTTAGTTCTCTGTGCTTTCAACCTGCCGTTGCTAGATTGAGGATTCTTGCTTACTCCCTACGCAAGGGCCACAAGCGGAGGTTTCATAGATTGATCTCTGCTTGTGAATGTTATGGCTCCATGCAGGATTTTAGTGTGTGCCTTGTTGTATATTAGTAGTCAAATGAATTACAAGAAATGAACAGTACTTCTGTATCTTGTCTCAAATGCGCATTCAGTCCAGCAGGTGGCTTCCTCCAACCAAAAGGTTTGCAGCTTTTTCTTAGCAGAGAAAGATGGAACTGAAGTTGCACAAACTGTTATGCTGTGGAAATGATGAGAGAACATTATTTTGTTTTTTTGTCACAAGAATTGTTGCAAATCATCTTGGATGTACAATAGCGAATAGTTTAATCAATAGCTAACCTACTTGCATAATACTTAAAACATGATGTGTACGTAGTCTTGGGTTCATACTACAGCTTAAATCAAGTGATAAAACGTCTACTTTTATTTTTTTAAGCATTGTAAAAGGAAGCTTCTGTATGGAAAATGGAATGAATGAGGTCAACTCTACTAACCTTTTCTATTCTTCTAATCCAACAGCGGTGGATCGCTCAGTTTCATCTAGTCTTGCAGATGCAAGAGATGCCTTAGTTAATGCTGTGGTAGACTCTTTGTCAGCGTACATGTCAACTGCCTCAAATCTGCAGCAGTCCATGCTGATAGCACCAAATTCCCTCAAGCTGTTTCCATTGTATGTTTTGGCTCTTCTCAAACAGGTATGTATAAGCTAGTAGTAGTGATGTTTGATTCATTGTTCCATTGGAGGAATTGAGCAATGTCTTTTCCTATAATTATCGAAATAGAGTTTTCCTTCTTGAACTTCCAGGACAGAAACAAAAAATGACCAAGCTTATTTTAACTGATGAGTGCCTGAATATTTTTTTTTGTTTTTGCTTGACTTTTTAAAATATATTTTGTTACTTGATGTTAAGTGAAAATCATAATGTATATTGTAGCAGCAATTCTTAAATTCTTTTGGCAACTAATTAAAGTTGCCGGGGGGGGGTTGTTGTAAGGCTCTTATTAGTACTTAATTTTATTTTGTGAAGAAAAATCATACAGTTTTCAGTGCACGTGTTTGTGTTTTCAGGTATTAAGAAGGAAAACTTAAATTCCATGGAAATGAAATGAAACATATTAAAGAAGCTAAAGTGAATAGTTTAAAGTTCATATAAAAGTAGTTAGCCTGTTTCCTACGGGCTCTTAAAGTCTCCCCTTTTCTAATAACTTGGAATCTGCTTTTTGATTTTTTTTAATATCTTTTGTGTTAACAAAAGTCATACTTAAGTATAATGAGAGTTTACTGCAGGGCTTTATCTTCAATAAATCTCATAGCTTCAAGATATTTAGTACTTGACAGTTGAGTGTTCATTTTTTCTTATTATAAACAAAGATTTATGTAAATTCTGTAAGAAATACGATCCTGATCATTTATTTTCATTTGGCTTTGTGATGATTTCAGTGCCTAATATACTGATTAGGACTTCTTAGCAGTCATGTAAGTAAAGCAAGTAATAGGGGGGAAAAAACAACCATGTTTAGTATCAGGAGAATCTGGGTAAAAGATAGCTTAGAGTAAGAGTTGCTGAGAAAATAAGTAATGTATAGAGGTTTTACCTTCATTAACAATAATAAGAAACTAAAACTGGAAAAAGAGGACTTGCATACGCAACTTTGGTGGAGAGGTGAATTTGCACATTAGTTGTAGGAATATTCTCCATTCAATCAGAAGATGGTGCTTTCTCTGTTGTGTTGTTACTGAGAGAATAGTCTTATTGGCTCCTTCTAGGGGAGAGCTGAAAAATTCAATAGGATGGAGAGTTATGAAATAAATCTTTATTCTATGAGAGCCTGGTTTCTGCTATAAGATACGGAAATATATTTTCATCCCAGAGCTTTTCCTTACCATTTCATCTTTGCTAATATAAAATCAGATTCCATCTTACTATCCACTTGAGTATCGTTTTTGAACCCTGCTGGGCTCTCGTCTTCCTGTGTCATTGTGTCAGTGAATTTCAAAGGCCAGTACCACTCATAAAGCATGAAAACGTGTAGTGCTGGTCCCACCACATTAACGTTTTACACAAAGTGGGGGATTTTTGTAAATCTTTCTTCTTTTTCATCAGTAAGAAGGGAGAATGGATAAAGTTTTGTAAGGTATTCAATTTGTATTTAATTAGGAATTTTTCTAGCATAGCGCACGTTTTTATAATAAATTGGGATTTTCTGATGTATCTAGGTAAGATGCATGTCTTTACAGAAGCTTTGTTATCTTTAACTGACAAGCCTCCGAAATAAGAAATACACTGTTCAGGTGTGACGTAAAATATAGGTTTCATGATTAACAATATATATTTTTTTCTTTAACAGAAAGCCTTTAGAACAGGCACTAGTACACGTTTGGATGATCGTGTGTATGCGATGTGCCAGATTAAGAGTCAGCCTCTCATTCACTTGATGAAAATGATACATCCCAACTTGTACAGAATAGACAAGCTAACTGAGGAGGTAATGTATGAAGCCTGTTTTGTAATATTTTCTAGTTTTAATAGTGTCGCTTAATGTGCTGCAGTAATTAATTTAAAACTTGTTACTGTAATGTAAACCGGGCTTTTTCCCTAAGTTATTACATACATGATGTGTGTGTGTGTGTATACACACAGACATATATATTTATATGCAGGTACGATAGTATGTTATGAAGAGATCTGTTTTTTTCACCTTCTTTCAGTGATCACAATAATTTCATGTTTTTCAATTAATAAAGAAAGCAGAGAAGGTTGTATGCCTTAGATGGCTATCCAGTGTTTTTGTGTGTTAGAACTCTCAGTGGGAAATGGATAAAATTTGGTAGAGAATACTAGGTATTGTATATTGAAACCAGATAAAGTTGCATGAAATGCAACTATGAAATGCCTATGAAATGGATGCATTTATTTCTAATAGTAAGAAGTAAGACTAGATACAAGAAGTAAGACTTAATAGTCATTTAGTTTATTTCTGTTATCCAAGAGGGGGGGCAGTCTTGTCACAGCCTGCTTTAATCTGAAATTATGCTGCGAATTTCTTGGTGGTGTTTTGTTTTGTTTTCTTCAGCATTGCTCTAACCAGATTGTTTGATCAGATCAATTTTAGTGCTGTGTAGCCATTCCCATATATAAGTTTGAAAGTGTTTTTAAACAAATTGGTTGATCTAAGTGAACGTTTTAGATTTAACATGGCACTTTATTATATGAGAATTCTCAAAACATTTGTAGAGATTACCAGTGTTTTTCTTCCTATTTTATCACACCTGCTTAAGACAAAAATACCAAATTACAATTTATTATTATTACAGTATTATTGACTGTTGTTTTCTTTACAGAGTACAATACATGTAAATGACAGAGTTGTTCCTCAGCCTCCTCTTCAGAAGCTATCTGCAGAGAAGTTGACAAGAGAAGGAGCTTTTCTTATGGATTGTGGTTCAGTAAGTGACCAGTTTTGCACGTTCCTGTTTTTAAAAAATAAAATAATGCTGAATTGTTGAAAGCAGCCAACTCAACCTTAGCTGTATAATGAATCAGCATCCTAAGTAACCTGGGAATAGTCTGTGTTCCGGTAAAAAGCTTTCACTATTTTTGATCTGTGGAAAATCTCTAATCAAGATTGCACATTAAGGTTTCAAAGGTTCATTTTTTCATGCTAGACAAATTGAAATATGCCAAGAGTTCATATCAAGTTTGTTGTTTGTTTTTTTTTTCTGGAAGTAATGGATTTCCATTTTGAAAATTTCCTTTTAACGGTTATTAAATTGCATGTACTATAATCTGTCTGTAACAAAGCACTTGTCATTGAGGGAGGAACTTTTTCAGTTACACATAAATGTAAGTAGTCTTATGCCACGTGAGCCATATACCATAAGAGTTGCAAGAGTTGAGGGATTTGTAGAGAGTGAATAAAACCTGTAAATGCAGTTTAAGTTAATCATAGGAATTACCCTAAAAACACTTAATGGGTTATAACATTATGCTGCTCTAATAATGCAATAAAATACAGTGCTGTAATGGCACTGTAGAAGGAAAGTGCATTGAAGTTCAGGTGCTGAGTGTGAATATCAAATTAGTTTCTATCTTCAGATGTCCAAAATAATTATTTTAATGTGTTTTGGTAATTAGTGCTTTACTATAGCTTGTTGAGACTGGATGTCAGTGTGCAGTAAATGACAGTGGTGTGACTTTATAAAAATCTAGTTTTTGTATTTTAGGAGGTAATATACATTAATTGTACCAATATAGACATGTCCTGCATCCTTTCAGTATTTGTGTTTTAACTGGGTTTTGGACATTCAATCATCTTTTTTCCGAATGGTACCAATTGTTACTAAGTCGATGTACAAATAATGAATATAGAGAAGTGAATTGCAACTGGAGCTCTCAGGTGATTAATTTGCATGACTGGTGTTTCCTGGTAATATTCCAATTTCATTACTATTTGTCTCTTTCTCTAAAACATATGCAAGGCCTTTACTAAAAATGATTCTGACATCTTGCAGGCTTTTTATATTTGGATTGGAAAAAACTGTGATAACAACTTCATAAAAGATGTCCTTGGATACCCAAACTATGCGTCAGTACCACAGAAAATGGTAGGCGTTTTAATCACCTGTACTGCATAACGCTTACATTTGGAAGCTATATTTAATCTATTTTTTTCTGAATTGTCAGTTTTTAATTATGTAACTGTGATTTTTTTTTTAATGGACACAATCTAACTTCTTGCCAGCTTTATAGAAAACATAAGTTGTCAGTTTTAAGGAAAGAATATAAATGTGTTCACTGAATGTCAAAAAAATGTTCAATAATATAATTGGTTTGTTTTTTTGTTTGTTTTGAAATGCATTTGGGCCTACAAAAATATTGTGAAGTTGTGTAGATCACGTCTTGATTCAGTTATTTCACAAACAGTAGTTGTTAAGATTGAAGGGTTTTTTGTTGTTACGATTTTTTGAAATCTTACATTCAGCGAACGTGGTGTTATATACCAGGTCTATGATATTTGGGGATAGGTCTGGATGTGAAGGGTAATGTAAAGGTCTGTATGTCAAGTAAAGCTAGGTTTTGTTCAGCTTCCAGGCTCAAGTCTGGACAAACAAAATGCTTTTAGCTATTAGAACATTGAAGACCCTTCAATATGTGTTTCAGCATAGAAATTTTTATGTTGTAACCTGTGTCTATGATCTTCTATGGGAAGCGAAGCAGCAATTAGAGAGGACTCCCTCTTCTGTGGGGAGCGGTTCCAAGATGTAAGGATAAGGATGAACCCTGTTGACATACTCTAGAAGAGTTCTGAATTGAATGGTTATATTCAGATAGTACCAAAAATGTGTTAGGCACTGTGGAAACATAGGAAGATACAAAGGGAAAAAGCAAAAGAGAAGCAGTACTTCTGAGAATAGGTCAGAAAGAGTGGTGAGCTTTAACACGACTATAAAATTGGACTGCTTGTTCAAGGTTTTGTATTTTGCTTGTATTACCAAGATAGAATTTTTCCCTCTGACCTACTAGTGGTATTATTAATTGACAGTATTTTCAGGAAAAAAAAAACTTTAATAAACAAAGGATGGCTTTTTTTTTTGAGATGTTAAATAGCATTTATTGTAATGAAAAATTAGAGAAAAAAGTAACATACAAAGTTGCCATCTTTGCTTTTAAATTATATTCCCCATTCATTTACTACAACGGCAGTAACAGTAAAAAAATCCGTCCTGTTATAGATTTGTGTTAAATTATTTCATCCCTGGAGTTGATATATTTAGTTCAGTGAATGCCTCAAACAAGCGTTTTCGTGGTGGTGGATTATTTTTTAAGCTCATTCCCCAACCAAATAATCCCTTATTTTTGCATTGAATTTTGCTTACAGTTCAAATTTTGTTTCTTCACGTTTCAGTTTTTCAGTGGTGCAAAAGACAACGTACAGGAACTTGATTGATGGGGAAAGAAGGCAGGAAAACTGTGAAAGCGGCATTTTAAAAAGATTACTGTTTACATGAGCTCACTTTGCAAAATCTTTTGCACGTAAAGGCAGTTTTAGATAAAGGTGTACTACTTCCTGTAAAACAGATATTACAGAATTGTATTTTAATCTGAAGAAAAAATGTGTATATCTAGTACATGGTAATTCCATAATAAAAATTTTGGTTATTCTGGCATTGGGCCATGTCATGAATATGATGATCTGTTCTTTAAAATAGTTCTGATATTAAAAAATAATTTCTTTCCATTACCTTCAACCAGACACAGCTTCCTGAGGTAGTTGCACTTTCTTCAGAAAGGACGCGGTCTTTCATAGCCTGGCTGAGGGACAATAGACCTTTAAGCCCAGTTCTTCAAGTAATAAAGTAAGTATTTCTGTTAGATACTGAGTTGGCAAGTTGTACTTACAGTTTCTAATTGACACTGAAAAGTGGGGGTGTCTAGCTGAGAAGAAACCAAATACCATCTCCTCTACACTTGGTAGAGTGCTTTTATCTAAAACCCCTTTGCAATGGAGGTCTGTATATTCTGTTGTCAAATGAGGAAAAAAGGAAGAAAAAACATTCAAATTCTGTATACATAGATGTAATTTCTTCTGGGTTCAATCAACATTGGGATTTAATATAACACATTTAATATAACACATACAACATAACAATGAATTCAGAATTCATTGCCATCAGCATATTTGCTTACATCTAAACACTAGATCACTTTTATGCTTCAGTTCTTGAGCTTCTACAAGATACTTTAAATGCTATTTCACCTATCTTTCTTCCACGTTACGTTTGTTAAGAAGATGCTGCTGTTTGATCGTCATCACAGACTCCAGGGGTTTTTTCTTAACTTTGGGTTATTTGTACTATAGTATCTTGGGACTGAATGTAGACTTCAAAACACAATAAGCATTTCATTAGAATTTATGCCTTTACTTGAATTTACAGCTTATCTCTTGCTAAATGACTAAAATACATTCCTCCATCTATTCTTTCAGAGATGAGAATCCTGCCAAGACAGAGTTTTTTCAGCATTTAATTGAAGATCGGACAGAAGCAGCTTTCTCTTATTATGAATTCTTACTTCATATTCAACAGCAGATTTGTAAATGAGCAAGGAGTAAACTAGAAGAAGAATCATGACTCCAGATAGAAGCATTGGCTGAGAGAAGTATATGGAAAGTTACAAAAGTCGATGTTTGTTCTTCACAATATACAGTAATCGGCGCTGGTTGGGAAACTTTACAGCTAAAGGAGGAGATGTATACATTTCCAGAAGAGTTTTGCAGATTTACTTCAGTCTAAAAGTGCTAGGGATGATGAAGCTGTTTTCAGTAGTAAACTTTAAATTGGTTTATCCACGTTTCCAGTAGTGCAGCGGTATGGTGCTCTGTTTATTGCAAGCTGGTGATTCTATGTAGCTATGTGGGATGATATTTCTTACTGAAATGTACAATTAGGTAAAGCCTTTTTTTCTTACGTTTGTTATGGTAGCCCTTCAAGATTCAAATTCTTAACAGACACGTCAAAGGGCAGTGCTGTATGTTGGTTGTTTATATGAATTTCTTCTTAAAAGGAATGATTCATATTTAGTAAAGACTTCAGCAAATTCCCTTTGAAAGTTGTAGAATTTCACTAAAGTAAATGAATTGTAGAAATAAAATATATAATGTACATAAGTATTACATTTGTAAAGAAAATGTAAAAATGTAACTAAAAAAAAAAAAAGAGACTTAGCTCAGTGTGCTGAATTGTTGAGTGCTCAATGATGAATTGTTTCAGTCCCAAGCTAGACAGTGAAGTTGACTATTAAAACATGCTTAAAAAAATCCATGTAGAAGGAACACAGCTTCTTGTTCTGTTTAATTTGTAGGTGGATTTATTTATGATTGGCTCACTAATTAAAAATATTTTGCTTTATCATGTGTTTTTATATTTATGCAAATACTATCTTTTTGCAACTGAACTATATATTGAAGAGAACATGTTTACCACTTCATTTTGCAAACCTCTGGAAGGGAGGAAAAAATGTTGCACTCTCTGAAATGAGCTATCAATACAATACAATAGTTAAAGTTCCTAGAACCCTCCTTATGTATTATCCTAAAGAAGACATATCTGCTAACCTTATTTTACATTTTGTAAACTGCTGTAGTCTTGGTCCAGGTTTTCTGTAACTTTTGTCTGCTGTTTAGAGTAAGCATGGGTAATCACTCAATCTAACTTGACGATATGATTTCTGCTGTGATCTGAAGGGGGGGGGGAAAAAGGTGAAGAGGGGTGTAAAAATGAATTAGCTTGCAACAAGGGAAGTAAAGGCTTTAAAATACAAAATTTCAAAATGCGGTCACACATTCACGTTCGTACATCTTTCCAAAACCTTGTTCTTGGTAATGTTTTGGTAACTTAATTGTGAAGTTTCAGATGGATTTAGCTCAGACTTTGAAACTTTGTTGTGAAATTGGGATGGTTTTGTTTCTTTTTTTTTTTTTTTTTGAAGCACATTAGAAGTAATTAACAAATTATAGTCACTCATACATAGTACTTTCTGTTCGTTTGTTTGATGAAATATAACTAAAATGATTAAATACCAAAAAGTAAATAATAATTAGTATGATTACATTTTATTTTAAGGTAGTCTTGAGAATGTTACCGTGTTGCGTAACTGCCATATCCCCTGAAAATAGAACTTGAATAGTGGAGAAAAAATGTTCTAGCTATGGTTTGCAAATGCTTTAAAAAAGTTACCCTAGTTAAATTGTTCAAGTGATGTTAGTCTGCATGTTAGCATCAACTCCTTGTTTGGGGAAAATATGATTTACATGTGTGTTGTCCTTAACTAAATGTCTTTAAGTTACCTAAAAGAAACTTACCTAAAAGAAATTACTTGAGATATTTTTTTTCCATTTAGTAAATTGTCATGTAATAAATGTCTGAGGTGATGTTGAATCTTGTCCCTAAATCAGACCACCAGGATTTTGGTACTGATATGCTTGTTCGTAGATGGCTTCACGGTGGGTGAAAGCTACACACTGCTGAAGACTGGGGCATTTCCAAAATTATTTGTAATTGCAAAGATGAGAAGAGCATGTTACAATTTAAGTGCCCCATGACTTGTGAGCTTGGTATTGAATACCTAGGAACATCCTATTCCATGATTAATTGCAATGTGTTCTGTAAAACCATTATTTAAAGCTTTATTCTTCTATCATTTTTTGTATATGAAAAATTATAACAAGTACAGCAAGAGCTATTTGTTCAGTAAAACCCTAACACGGCACAGAATCTAGGGGTTTTGTTGTTGTTGTGACTTATTTAAATTAGTTAGTGGAGCACATGTACTTCCTGACGGATCTTTGTTTTCAAATTCAAGACAACAGTCCCACAGAAATATTTTGAATTGAAACATCTTTGGATTTAGCACGTTGATTTTAGTGTTTTGAACAATAGAGTATCTGTAGGTATGGAAGTAGCATCTGAAAGATGGCTTCACTTACAATGGCTTGGATCACACCACTGTACTGAAGGCTGCGTGCCAGAAAATGAATCCCCGTGAAGACTCACACTGTGAAACTTGAAAGATTTTTGCCCACCGGATAATATTTTGGTGAGGAGATAAGAGGTAAGCTTTTGTATCTTTTTAAAGTGTTGAACTATCCCTTGAGGTTCTCTGACTGTTTTAGGGATTGATTTTTTTTTTTTTCCCCAAAAAGCTTTCAACTCTGTCGTATGAATCACGCCTGTTTCATGAGAAGTTCAAAATCAGCTAGGAGACAGATACACGAGCCCTGGTTAAGTAAGTCTTTTGGGGAATTGATTCAAATTCTCTACATTTTAAATACAGCTGGCATCCCTTTCCATTTCTTAGTTCTAAAAGCCACATTGTTTACATCTTTTAACGTCAAAGGAATATGTGAACTGCTGATGGAGAAATTACAGTCCAGGAGGCTCTTAGAGTAGTAAAGACATGTAATGTAGCTCCCGGAGAACTAGTAATAAACATAATTGTGTATTAAACTTTCACACATATCAGAAATAAGCCTATTTGTTAATTTTGATGTAGAGCTTCATATCTCTGGAAAAAAAAAAAATGAGTGGGCGCAGTTGACTTTGGCTTTCTGTACATTTTGACAGATACTGAAAAGATGTTTTTCAGTCATTAGTGGTGGTGTTTTTTTAACAAGCCAAAATGAACTGCCAGTAATCCTGACAGTCAAAAGCTCTTTAGTAATTTCAAATATGAAATATTACTTTGGTGTTGACCCCAAATACATTTCAAGAACTCCATTTAAAAAAAAAAAAAAAAAAAAAATCTTTCCAAGATAGTGGGACAGACCTGGATTTTTTTAGGGTGTACTTACAACCTCAATCATTGATTTCAGTAGTTGGTGTTAACTCATGTATGAAGGACTTGCAAGATCTTGAGTAAAATTTTTGACCATGTTTTGTCACAGTGCTGTCTTCTGATCTTGGACAGGCTGCAATCCTGCAAAAGCTTGGTGGCCAGTTTCAGTGAGTGACCGAAACAAGGTTTGGAGGCCTGAGGCTCTTGCTAGCAGTCTTTGTCTTGCTCACATAGAAAATTCTCTACCAAATTCTTTATTCTGTAGGAGGAGAAGTGGCTTTTATTTTTATTTTTTTTTTAATTAATAGCATAGGTCATTGATTTGCATTCCTGCTGCTCATCCAAGAAAGTTCTTTATAGATACGGGTAGAGGAAACTGGAAACGTACGGCGTAGAGGCCAGAGACCTCCCCGTGGTGGTACTTGCATGGTGTGAGCAGTGCAGGAGCTGAGAGCTGATTTCAAGTAAAATGAGTTTATGCTGAAGCCTATCCTGAATTTTTGAGGAGTGGCAGCAGCCAGCCTAGTTTAGAGAAGCCATCTTCTTCCTCGTGCTGCATTTCTAACAGACTTACCTGTGGTTTCATTCCCTGTGCAAAAGCTGTGAGGTTGCACAAAGGATTACCTAGTCCCTGAAAGAGGTCATGAGCGCAGGACCTTGTAGGTCAGTTCTCTCACGCTGGGAGCAAGCAGTGAAGGTACAGATACTGGGCATTAGCAGGCTCCAGTGATTTAATAAATACCTCAAACAACAGACTAGAACTCAAACAATTGCTTCAAGTCTCCCAGCTGATGCATGGTGTAGATTTTGCTCAAGAAAAAATGAATTTATTGAATATCTCAAGTGTATCAGTTTCTATGTCAAGAATTACTGCAGTGACTTATTCTTTAAGTGCAATTCTTCAGATTTTAATGCGTTATTTTTCTGATGTATTGTTTAAAAAAAAAAAAGTGGGGTCTACATATGCTATCATGTTTCAGGTTTTCATAAATGAGGTAGAATATGATCACTTTTGCAGAATTACAAAGGTTAAGTTCCAACTAAAAGCCTGCTGGACCCAGGTAATTCTGAGATTTAGTGTAACACTTTCTTCCTTTTCTTTTTTTTGTTTTGGTACAGTGGTATTGGGAATTTTAAATGCAAGGGGAGAGAGAGCCTATGATGATTTATTGATGTATTTATCTGCCAGTTCCCTACAATTAAAAACAGAGCGGCCTTGCTTGCCTTTAATTCGATTGACACTGTTGTAGTCAAATGCAGGAGGAGGCTGGAAAGTTTGGCTGCAACTACTGCAAGTAACTGGAATTTGAGGTCTCTTGAGTATATTTGCTTGCAAATTACTGATGATTCATTTGCACAGCAAAATCCAAAGGCATCCTGTGGGGTTGTGTCTCGCAAGCGAGTTCTCGCATGGGTAGTGCTGCATACAAGAGATTGTTACAAGAGCAACGAAAATTCAAACAAACACATTATCGATGATTCTTCAATTTTTACTCCAACCCTGAATTCTGATGGATTACAGATTATCTGCTTGCAGGGCCTTTGTCCTTCCTTTACAATTTTAATAACAAGGAAAAAAAAGCATTAAAATATTTCACCTATTTTTTTTTTAATTTTCTTCTGAAGATCTGTAGCAGAAGTGATAACTTTTATTGGAGATGCCTAATTAGAAATAGCAACCATACACAAGATTGAGTGGTTGCATGCTTCTGTAAGAGAGAAATTGGAGAGGGGAGGTGGCAAAACTTCTGGAAACACTTAAAAACTTGATTTAAAAAAAAAAAAAAAAAAGGAAATGATCTTTATGAGCTTTAGTATTGTTTCTCTTGTATCAATTTACCTTTCTGATTTCTGTTGTATGTTTTCTAAAAGTACTGGGTATTTGATTTTCAGCTGTCAAGAGAACACCACCCCAGAGACATCCACAAATGCAGATTTCACATTATACCCTTCATCATTAAAAGAAAAGCACCAGTTCAAAAATTATATATATTTTTGACTGTTTCCAGTAGGAAATAAGTTGATTTTTGTTTTCTCTGTTGGGTAATAAAGTAGTGTAATAATTTTTTCTTGCATTTTATCTCTTTGCCACATGTGTAGGAAGCCCCCCCCCCTTGTGAGACACAGGCTTTGTGACTTTCTTGAGTGACGAGTTTACTGTCACAACAATCCTCAAGCATTAGGAAGAGTTGGTGATGATTTACCATCTTAGTAATCTGTTAGCCATAGAAAATGTCATTCTTATCAACTGTTTGAAAAAGTTTTTTGTTTTTTGTTTTTGTTTGCTTGTTTTTTAAAAATTGTGTTAGAAAATCATTGAAGGGGAAAAATAACATCTAGGATTATGCTGTCGTTTGTTACTAACTTTTCGAGATACCATGCTTTCAAAAAGCTTGACCCATTGTAAATCCTAACTTTTATGAATACAAAATGTTACTAAAAACTGAAGCTGAAGCAGACAAAAACCTAAATGTGTCCTGATTCTCTGTAGTTAAGGGTTCTTCTCTGTTCCTTGGCTCTTGTGCACCTGAATGTGCTGCCTTTGTTCTGAGCAGAGCTTCGGAGAAGCCAGAAGCAGGACTGGGCCCCCTGCTCTGTGTCAATTCCTGTGCTGTGAGCTGGGGGCACCTGGAGATGCCCAACTGCTCTGTGCCAGCCTGCCCCTGATGCACTGGTACCTTGTCCTCTTGTTAATTTGCTTTTCTTGGGCTTTCACTTTTTTGTGTTTAAATTTTTGATGCAGGTCCTCAGATCCATGAAGTGATTCCCATACAGATGGGATATCGCTGCCCTTTCCCCTATTCTATTCTTTGTCATCCTGATGTGTTGTTAACGGTGAACTTTGAACAGTGCTACCTCGGTCTTTTAATAAGTGTGTGTTATAAAATATAAGTTGTTATATGGCTTCTGGGAGAACTTTAAGAACAAAAAGTGAATTATCTTCCCTCCTTAGTGGTGGTTTCTTAGGTAGCAGGAACAATGCTTTGGCTTCTTCCTAAAGCAATACTTTTGGAGTTTAGGACTTTATTATAAAAAAAAATAAAAAGTAAAACCTTGCAGACAGTGTGTGTGTGTGTGGTGGAAAGGGACTAGGCCAGGCCTGGAGGACTCGGCGGAGCAAGAGTTAGGACTTCCATGAAGGATAATGTCAAAGGGAGGGATAATTCCTACCCCAAAAAGACCGTTGCCACTGTTAGTGCCTGCAGCGTAAGGGGCTGAAACTTCAGCCACTGAAATTGTACCGAAATTGTTAATCATTCCGTAAGAATTCACGCTTCCAGCTCAGCAGAAATGGATTTACAAGGAGAAAGCACACACACAAGCCCAAGCAGCCACCGAGGCACAGTACAGCGCCTCAGCAGAGGAGGGAAGAGCACTGACCAGATGCAACAAGCTCCTCGCAGGCATGACTCAGGTCTCAGCGAAGTGCTCCCCTGCTGTTTGGACAGCCTGGCAGCTCTGTAGTAAGAGCATAATTTATGATCCTCCCTCCGCCCAGTCGAAGCACTTCCTATTCCTGGAGTAAGAATTTCTCTCTGTAATAAAAGTCCGTCTCTCTTCCCCTGTGGCAGCACGCCTTCCAGCAGCCTGGTTAGCAAATCCCACCTCTCTGACACACCGCTCCGTAAGAAATACGGAGCTTTGGTCTGTCCTGGGTGAGCTGGGGAGGTGTCTCACCTCGCTCCTCTCCTAGAGCAGGAGGATTAGTAAGCTGACATGTTGCAACGAGCTGCTCCTCTGTGTTTTGAAGAGATCTTTGCTCTCTGTGCCCTGGGAGGGAACATAATTCTCCCTGGAGGGGAAAAAAAAAATAAAAAATCAGTCTGTCTTTGCACCAAATGATGGCCACAGTCATATTACCATGCCCAAAAAGGAGAAAGGTTTTATATGCTCTCCTCTTCACAGAAACATGAGAGTCCAGGTTTCATCCCTGTGACTATGTGGAAAATTCAGGCTATTTAATAATGGCTCAGGGACAAGCAGTAGGATTTGGTTTTTGGGAGGTGCATCGGCTAACTTTATTCCATTCTGCTATATTTTCTTTCATCCTAAAAGCTGACCCCCACTTGAATAGCCTGCAGGTCCAGACTTTGTTTTAGTGGTTGTACTAAAGCAACTTTGCTATTTGCTCCATTTTATACCCATTTTTATGGTATCTGTGACTAGTGATGTTTCACTTGTATATATGCGTGTCTGTATATGTGTATATATATATATACACACAATGTTTGAGTGTGAACAGAGAAATACAAGGATGATATTTATGTAGGCCTATCCTTGTCAGGTGTTAATGACGTGGTAGTTTAGACGTGAAGTATTGAGCAGATACCTTTATGAGGTATAAGATGATAAAACCGAAGTTACAGCCAACAGATAATATTTAATGGAGGAAACTAAGATGCGAAACACGTTGCTTGGAGAACAAAGCAGAAGTTACCTCATGAAGCAATCTGAAAGGTAAGAAATGCAAACAGAGGGTAGGATTTTTGAAGAGGCAAAGTCAGTGTTTTAAACATGGTCGTGACACAAGCCCCAGCTGCTAAAATGGCTGTTGGCTCTCTTGGCCCATGGAAAAGACACACGGCTTATTTCCTAGAGCCCCAAAAAGGCTGACATGCACATTTCCCTCCCCGAGCTGGGGACATGAACGCAGTGGGGGCTGTGGTGACAGAGCTGTGAGACGCTGATGTGGATGGAGCAAGCAGCTGCCAACAGTTTCCTGTAGACAGAAGTCTCTGGGAAATAATGAACTTCGCCGGGGCTTGCTTTGGCGTCTGCCTGCTCCTCGCTGGGGCAGCAGAGAGCGCTTATCCCGCTGAAACAGCCTCAAAAACAGGCAGGGCGGGGGGCTAAACCCTACAGCACCCCAAACCCGTAGGGTGAAGGAGTTGTGGTAGGAGCTCCCTCAGCGAGGAGCCGCCCTCCGCCGCCTCCTCCCCGGCGGGAAGGGGAAGGGCGCCGAGCCCCACCGCCGCCCAGCCCCGGCGGCAACGCCCACGGCGGAGCTGGAAGAAGAAGAAGAAGAAGAGGAGGAGGAGGAGGAGGAGGAGGAGGAAGGCTGTGGCGATGCTGGGGCGGGCGCTGCGGAGCGGCGAGCGGCGCCGCCGGCTGCTGGCGGGGGGCTTGGCGCCCATGCCCGCGCCTCAGGTGAGCGGGGCGGGCGGGCGGCGGGCACGGGCTGGGCTTCCCCCGCCTCTCTCCTGCCTCTCTCCTGCCTCCCCCCCGGCTCTCAGGGGCTCGGACGGGGGATTTGGGGCGCTGGGGGAGCCCGGGGAGGGTCGAGCCGGTGGTGGTTGCTTGATGGGAGCGGTGCTGCCCGGTCCTGGCCAGGCGTTGTGGTGGAAGTTGGCTGCGTGAAGGGCTCGGGGCTGTGGCTCGCTGGGCTCGGGCAGCCCCAGCAGGTAGGGGAAAGCGAGGAAAATAAAAGTTTGCTGCGACTTCACAGCGCCCAGGGGGTGCGGAAGGCCCGTGTGGTTGCACGCCCTGAGGGAACGTGGTTTAACCCGTGGGGATTGTTTTTAATAGCAGCCACCCTCAGCGCGCTGGAAGATGTGGCTGCGATAAACGCAGCGCGATGCATCCCTGTCCCGTCCACAACCCACCCAAGGGTCGCATCGTGCTCCTGGGAGAGCTTCGTGGTGAGAGATGGAGCAGAAACCCTGCTCAGGAACCCGTCTGTGGGATCCCATAGCCTTAACCTGCCCGTGCTCCGCTAACCTGAATGGCTGCCCTCAGGTTTGGCACGCGCGGTTCTGAGGGCGCTGAAGGAAGGAAATTAAAATAAATGCTGGTGTGACCTCCTGCATCGCCTACGGCTCAAACACTGAGTGCTAAAAACGTCAGAGAGGGCATTAACGCTGCCATTCAGCATGCTCTGGCGTTACACAGCCAGTGCATCACCCCAAACTTCCCCAGGGTACCGCTTTGCAGGGCAGCTTCATGCTTTTCGAGGGCTCCAAAATGAGGCTGAAAGCTCGAGAAGATGCACCAAAAAGGAGAGGAGGAGGAGGAGGAAAAGTGCTTGATTTGGCACTCCTGCTGGTATAGGAAGTAGCAGAAAAGCGAAGAGCTCTGTGACTTACCGGGGTGGAACTTGACATCGACGTGATTCAGGAATTAAATTTGTATGCTGCTTTTCTAGGCTAGGGAGAGGGTGTGGTAGCGTCAAGGAAAACTCTAATTTGGAAAAAAAAAGTTAAATAGGAGATCTTGTTCATTCCTAAAGTAGAAGTGTTGGGAATGTATTAATATAGCCTGCTTTTTATGTGTGCAGCCCAGAGTTCCAACTTTTCTACAGAGCCATTAGCATGGTAGATGACGAAGCACGTTTACTGACTTTGCCCCTTCCTGTTTTCATCTTTGGGTGCCTTTCTAATTTGTGAATATGTCTCTGCAGAGCAGTTAAAGCACTTAAAAAATGTGTTAGTATAAAAATTAAATGGATGGCCTGTAGTTGTAACTTCAAGCTAGTGGAAAAGCGTTACTGTGCTTGTTTAGCTTTTTCTGGGGGGTTATATTTGCTCGTGTGCGTTGCTAGTTCTCCTGTTTGTCGTAATCATTCAGTTGAAGAAGTGTTTTGCCTCCAGCTCTGGAAGGAGAGGTTGGAGCTCCTGTGGTCAGCTCAGGAGAGCAGAGCTTGGTTGCTTGTTGCCTTTGCCCTCGGTGTGTGCTGGTGCCATCCGTGGCCCCGTGACCCATAACAGGGATCGTGCCCCATGATGGGGATCGGTTTGCCCAGATACCTGCTGGTGGCACCAGGTGGGGGTTTCCACTTGCAGAGCTGGAGGTGATGCTCCTCACAGAGCTGGTCCTCACATGCTGCCAAGGTGGGTGCTCAGCTGGTACCGTGCTGACAAGCAGGTGTGTAAGTACACGGCGTGTCTGTGTGCTCTGGTCTAGACTAATAAATAAGCTGCCCTGGGGACAAATGAACCACTTTAGAGTGCCGGATTTGCTTTAATTTTTCTGTAAAAGCAGGGATTCCTATCCTAAAGAGTGGGATTCTCCACTGTCGTCTTCTCAGCTCAGTACTTAAACAAAATCCACACCTCTGACAGCTCCGATTAGCTGCTCTGCTTTCAGAGCAATGTTTGTGCGAATTCCACTTAATTTTATAAAGTTGAATTTTCGGTTGCGTGGTTTGATTCATGTATATGTCTTTTTTATCTTTCTGAGAAGCGTTGGGTATTTATACAGGCACGTAGTTCTTCCAGCGAAGTGCGGCGTGTTGTTGTGTTCTTTGGGCAGCCCTCGGTGTTACTACCCATAATATTATTCCCAGCAGGATGCGGTTCGTTTTGGTGGAGTCCCAGATTTGTAATGCTGCAGTTATTTGGTATGTGGCGAGACCCAGGGGTTGCCAGCTGTTTCGCTTCCCACTTGGCTTGCAGGTTTTAACTCCCGCTGCTCGTGCTGTGCTCAGAGAAACACGCCGAGGCCACGGCTCTCGGCGAGGAGGAGTGCCTCTCACCACGCCACGACGGAGAGTGGATGTGTTAACACAGGATCGAGCTTGAAATTGCCATTTTTCCTTGTCTTTTCATGAACAGTTCAAGCCAGACAACATTGCAGGGGCTGATTTATTTACTTTTTTTTTTTTTTTTCTTTTTAAGCTGATCTACTTAAACTCGGCACTGCAGGGAAACTAAAATTGTGTTGCTTTTTGTGGCTGTTCCTATGCATGAGGCTCGCAGTTCAGTTCGTGCAGTGGGGACCTGCAGCAGGCTGCCAGCAGCACCGGGGATGCTCTGCAGCCGTGGGAGATGCAGCCTGTGCTGGGCAGTTCCTCCTGGCTTAAAACCAGGTTCACTCGCAAACGCATCGGTGAGAAGTGTTGGGCATTTGCTTCCTTCCCGAGTTAGGATATCGCCTGTGCTTGTTGCTGAGGAAAAATTTCTTCCTAGTGGCAAACTGCAGCCTGTTGGAGAGCCATTGTGCTTGTTTATCTGCAAAAAAGCAGGCCAGGGAGCTTTTTGTTCTTGTTTTGTCAGTTCCCAGCGCCATCCATATCTGTCAAAAATGTTTCTTTTAATGCGTTCAGCTGATAAGTTTGTCGACTGCCCCGTTCTTCAGACTGGGTCTAACATTTTCCTGGTCTTCCTTTTAATAACTTTTAGTTGTCCTTGTTTACCCCCAAATTACCATACCACTTCGAGCATTAAACATTTCCAGTTTGTCCTTAGGTTTTAGGCAGCGCTGGGAGTAATGCTCTAGATGTGTCCAAACAGCCACGGAATGATTTGAAATGTCCCTTTCCTTTTTTTCCCGTGTTTTTCCTTTTACCCCTTCTCTTTTGCTCTGTTGGGATCTGCCAAGGCAGCCACCCCGGGGCATCACAGGCAGCTACCGGAGTGGATTTATCATCGACTGCGCTGTGCGGCTGAGTATCTCACTGCAGTGTGCTTCAAGTCCTTGCTGTGTATTTGCAGCCTACGCAGGCCCTTTGGAAACCGAGGTATAATTGAAGCCAAGAACGGGAATAATTCGTGGCTGCTGGGCGTATCTTCCCCTGTCTTTCCTCCCCTTTCAACAACAAAAGTTTGCGTCGTGATCCAAACCTTGCTTTCTGGTCAGGAACCTTATGGGTGCTGCCATAATCCCAGCAGTGCAGGAACCGTGTGTGAATTCTCACCCCTTGTGGGGTGAGGATCACCCGAGGCCGGTGCTGTTCCTTCTGGCACCCCGAGCAAGGCTTTGCTGTCAGGTTTTTCTGTACGGGGAAACAACCTGATACTGAACCTCTGGAGGATGTCTGAGAAAATTGCTCTGCAAATGTCTTGGGTGCTCTGGAGGTTTACCACAAATCACCGTGAAAGCACTGAGGACTTAATGCTGTTTACAAAAGCCGTGTGTGTTTTAGGAGTATCACTCGCTTGTAATAGTGCTTGTTTTGCTTTTGGTGCTCTGGTGTGTTTGTTTTTTTTTTTTTAATTTGTTTTAAAGCTTAAAGGTCAAAAAGTGAGAGCCTGTTCCAGAGCTCGTAATATCTTCATTTCTGAAGGGGTGGGAGAGAAAGGAAAGGGATCGATGGTTTTTTGTTTGGCTGTTTTGGTTTGGGTTTGCTTCTTTGTGGTGAGGTGAACTTCTCCTTAGGGTTTTCATTGGCAGGAAGGCTGTTGCAGGCAGGTGAGAAGGCAGCAAGCTCTTCTGAGCCTGGAGGAGGGTCGCTGTCACTTCGGGGCCTCCTTGGAGTACGGTGTTGATGATGGGAGGTCTCTGCTAAGGGCATCTAGCACCAGCTGTCGCTCCGGGTTGCTTACTTCTCTCTTTTGCTCTTTTCCAGAAAGGCGAAAGGAGGGAGAGGTTCTCTGCATGTGCCTTGTCTTCAGCCAGGACGCTGGTAAAGACCTCGGCGATGAGGTTTTCAAGGGGAAGAGGTGGCTTTGTTGTGAGATCAGTTCTGCCAGGCTTACAGCTGCTCACCGTGTCCCGGGCTGAAGCGACGAGCCCAGCGTCGATTAATTTGAGCTCTTTGTTCTGTGAACTTGCGTAGGGAGGCCGGGAAGAGGGCGGTTTCCAGGCGTGCCTGTTCCGTGCTCTGACCTTTTCCGTCCTCGGCTGACCCGTGTGTCCTGGCTCATCCTGAAATTGCATCCAGTGCAGGTGCTGCGTGCTGTCCCCGATGTGCTTGGTGTTTGCCAGACCAGCTCTGCCTTAAGTCCTGCCTGTAACTGAGCCGCTTTACGAGGGCTTTGGAGCCCGATGGCTCTGAGGATAGATGGCCATACAGGGCACGCTTGACCCAAAGTCCACGATCCCCAAGTGCTGGGAAATTACGGATTTAGGCTCTTGAAGGTCAGGTCCATCAGTAGCAGAGTAAATCCCTCACGTTAGAGTGGTGTAACACTAGAGCTGAAGACAGCAATAGGAATTAAAGTGGACATGGCTGGCTGCTTGCCTGCTGAAGGTTAAACCCTTTTTGGTCCATAAACCAATTCTTCACCAGGCTCGTGCTCTGTGAGGACGTGGCACACGTCAGCAGGCTGGGCAGACGTGGATAAACAGCTATGGGCTTGTGTGGTGGTGGCCGGAGGGCACGACCTCTGCTGCTGGTGAGGAAACGTTTAGTCCTCCCCCAGACTGAAACCAGAAAAAGTTGTTCACTGTGAAAACAGGAAACTTCGGCTTTTGAGACTGGTGTTTATCGCGACGAGCACAGTCTTCAAAAAGGGCAGAAACGCTGAGTGCATTATGCACAGGCAAGATCATAACTTACTTTTTTTTTCCTTCAGAGAAACAATTTTGAAGCAATTATCTTCGCATTTACTGTCTGGTCATTTGAGATCAAAATGACTTCAGTCTTCACGTTCTGGTCAGATGGAGAGGGAATAAATTAACTGCATACGAGAGATGTGTTGTCAGTTTGCAGTGCAGGCAGCGATTTCATCCTCCCAGCATCTCCCTGCTGTTGCTTAAGAGTAGAGCGAGAGACCACGAGGTCGATTTGGAGATCTCAAAAGCATCTTTAAACGTATTTGCCCGAGTGGAGGAGAAATTGCATTACTCTTCTGGCAAACCAAATGCTGTGTGTCGTAAGGAAATCAGTTTGGTCAGACTGCTCTCCTCTGGGTTGTTCTCCGTGGGGGGAATGCTCACCTACCTGTTGTGTGTGACCTGCTGTACCACAGTGTTCACAGAATAACGTTGCCATGGTTTTTGCAAGTGTTTTTTTTTTTGTTTGTTTCTGAGACCTGTCCCATTCTCGGTACGTTCTCATGTTGCTTGATGTCCTTCGCTTGCTTCTTGAACCTGGGTGCTGAAGGTTTGGTGCTGTAGGCTGGGTGCTGAAGGTTTTCCTTGCCCAGAAGTGGGGCCGAGGTTTTGGCTAGCCTGGTGTACCTGGTTGAACAGGCGTGTTTGTGAACGGGCAAATTTTAAGTTAATTGCAGTAAGCGAAGATGGATTAAACCGCCCGAAAATTGGTAGGAGATGACAAAGCCACTGTGTAACCACAGGGTAGCTCAGTTTCCTTTTCTGCAGATCCTGTTTCTGCCTTGCCCAGAAGAAGGAAAGAAGATGAAGGTGAGGGGAGAGATTGCAAAGAGTGAAAGGAAAACACAGCTACAACAACACCAGCCTGGTGGATGAAACACACCTGTAACAGAAATGCAATGCCTGAACGTGGGAGTTAGCTTCCTGCACCAGGAGCACAACAAATGCTGTGTGAGGAGCTGAAGTCACGATCTGGCTGTGCCCAAGGATAGTAATGCTGAATCCACTGAGCACTGCTGGTCAAGGGTCTTGACTCCCACTAAGATTTTTAACTAAAAGCAGGAAGTCTGCTAAATCTGGGCTGGGAGGGGACTGAGGCGCAGCAGCCTGTGGTCTCGAGCAATCTGTTTTCTGCTGCTGCCAGAACCGAGAGTAAGTGCATCTCACCCGCCCTGGCCACAAGTGTGACAGGAGGCACTGAATTAAGCATCAGGGATCCTTCGTGAGGAGCTTCTGAGCGAGGTAACCCCCAGGATTAAACCCCCGTGGTGCCTGTGTTAGGTGTGAGCTTTATTTTAGTTCACACCTTCCTGCTTGGTCTCTCATGCTGCTGGTTGGATCCCGGATTCGTGTTTGTGCATCCTCCAAGGCTGTTTTTAAGTGAACCCCGAGCTATCCAGGCGTCACGGTGCCCATGCTCGTGGCACGCATTTTGGCAGCGTGTGATATTCCTACATGTATGATGATCGGGGATATTCCTAGCTGTAGTGCAGCAGGTAGCTGCACGAAGCAACATAATAGGGTAGATGCTATCAGGAGTTATTACCAGCCTGGAACAAAAAGCTTCATGTTGATCATTCATACGCTGATAACTTTGGATGCTGTGTAACACTTAGAAGTCAAGCCCTTAGGCTTTTATGGTTTTCCTCATGGTTTCTAGGGTTTGGAGGAAGCTCTGTATCAGTGAGCGAGCCTGCTGTGTGGTCCTGCGACTCGAGGGGCTGAGCGTTACGAAAATACTCGGGGCTTTGTGGCAGCTGTCAGACGGGCAGGAAAAACTCAAGTTGAGGAAAATATGCTTGAACCCCGGCAGCACGTACTCAGAGGGAGGGAAATGTTGAACAAAAATGCTTAATCAGAGGTGGTGGTGAAAGAACAGAAGTGCTGGACCATCGTGTTTAGCCCAAACTCTCTGTATTTAGCGAGCAGTTTGTCTGCATGGGTCCTGGCTTGTAGCACTGTGCTCTGCTCTGTACAACACGTTCTCTGGGGTCTTTATCTCCCCTCCTAAGTGCAGAGCTGTTCAGGCCATCCCTGTTAGTTTAAATCACTGTTTTGTAGCCTTGATGCCTCTGCTTAAACGTGAGAAGTTGGCAGGTTGCTTCAGAGACTCCGGCTGCAACAAGTAGACACGGAAGAAGGCAGATATTGAACTGGACTTCAATTGTGTGATTCTGAGGGGAAGTAAAATTCGGACATGGGGAAAACAAGTACAGAGCCTGATCGGCCTCTTGTGCTCTGCAGACCCACAGAACAAGTGATAAAAGAGCTTTTTCAGTATGCTCATGAATCCGTAGCAAATGCTCCCTCGTGGAGCTGGCACGCTACAAAAGCAGATTGCAGCAAAATATGTTGGTGTCAAAGAGATTGGGACTGCTCTTTCCCTTGTGTTTTTCTCCCGTGATGGCACATTGTAAACATCGTTCTGTGTCTGTATTACTCACTTGTTGCTAATTAGATACTTTTTTCTTCATTTGCTAGAGTGTTAGTAAGCCAATTCAGATGTTCTTCAGCACTCCAGGAAAACTCTCTCAGAGGGGTGTTTGGTGTAAGCTGCTGCAGCTCCCTCAAGGCGCTGTTTTCTCAAGAAGCTGCAGATTTTCTCATTTGAGAGATTTACCAGAGTCCTTTTACTGTGTATTTGTAGGGAACTTGGCTCAACCTTCTTGAGTATTTTGTGTGTATGTGTTTTCATAAGGTCACAGCTGCCCAAAAACATCAGGTACTTACTTTCTACACAAAATGCAGTGGCTCTGTGTATCTGCCTTCCATTGTTACTTGAGCCCTTGAGGTGCATTTGGGTTGTGTTTTTTCCAGGCTTTTATAGCCAAGGAGATGTGACGTTGTTTCCTGAGAACTGAGATTCATGTCCTGTAGATAAGCAATTCCTGAGAGATGAAAAAAAATAGCACAGGAATTTGGAAAGTGTGCCCATCTGTGCGTAGCTGGTGGGTCTGATTGAGCTCTGGGACTGGGAGTTTGGTTTTTACCTTGGTCAGATGTGTTGACCTGAGTTAAAGGTTGACTTGGCTGAATGCAGAAGGTGTTGTCTCGGAGGAGAAGGAGTTTCAGCACCAAACTTTTGAGTTTATCAACTACAAAGATCGGAGTTTCTTCAAAACTGAAGGGAAGTCAGCTTCTTTTGATGCCAATGAGGTAGATGAAGTTCCTAATTTCGCCCAGGTTGCAATGGAAAACGGAGTCTCGAGCTTTGTTTTAAACCTTTTCCAGCTATGAGCCCTGTTATTCACTGGTTGTACTCAGGATGTTTTGCTTCATGTTCTGGCTGCAGCTGCAGAATGCCTGTCCTTGCCGCGAGCGGGGCTGTCAGGCTGCAGCTCCCCGTGCTGAGCAGAGGTCAGAGGTGCTGTAATCCCTGCCCTGTGGAGCTGTGGGTGCTGCCAGGACTCGGGGGCATCCTCTGGGAGCTGCAGAAATCTGGGCTGCTCTGTGCTTGCTGCTGGCCTTAGCCCATAGCCCCAGGGGCCTGGAGTTGGATGACTTTTTCCATGTCTGTTCCTCCCTGCCCTGGTCTATATCTGGCTGATCCGAAGCTGCAAAATGTCAGCCCTCTGTCTCCTCCAAGTAATTTTGAAGACTAAGAATCGTTCTCCCTCTCAGCTCGCAGACAGAGCAATTTTTTTTTTTCCTGACGTGGGGAGCTGAAATTCCTGGAGCAACAAGAGCAGAGCAAACAAACATCCCGGCGATGCCTTATCTGAACAGACAGGAGGAGTGACTGGAATTCACCTTGGATTAACTCTGTTTTAGTCTTCTGGCAGGATCTGTGTGCATCCAGTTGGGAGAATACACCTGTGTTGCTGAATAAGATACGCTACCCGCTTCAGCCCTGTGGGGAAGATCAAAGCATAGTTAAGGAGAATGAAGCTGAGGAGTAGGCTGACATTATTGCAGTGGTTAATTATTTACCTGCAGCCGGCTGCTCTCAGGCTCATTTTTCTGCACCCATCAGCATCGTAAGGTAATAAACCACGCAGAGATCACATTTCTCTGGGGAACTGGTTGCAAAGGGCCCTGCTTCTTGAGCAAGGACAATTAATGTCTGGTTCCTTTAAAAAACAAAACAAAACAAAACAAACAAAACAAACAAACAAAAAACAACAGTTT